TCATAGCTTACGTCATAGCTTACGACGAAGCTGAACAAGTATCAAAAAATCAAAAATTATTTGAACAAGCTGCACAGAAAAAAGAAGAAAAAAAAAGTTGAAACAAAGTCAGTCGGCTAAAACACCAGGTAAAAAAGGTCGAAAGACAAAAAATCAATCAGAAGACCCACATTTACCTCAAGCTTTAAATAGTATTTTAGTATCTAATGATCGTCTTTGTTATTCTTGCGAAAGTTATTGGGCGAATAGCTTAGATAACCAATGGCTTGCATGTTTTAATTGGTCTTGCATTGCATGTGTCGTTGATTATCGTTCAACTATGGAATTTATTTGTAATGAATGTGAATAAAATAATATATTTTCTTTTTTTAATTAAACAATTAATTTTTTTAATGGATTAAATTGATTAGCTTTATGTTAGTATTGTTAGTGTGTGTTTTTTCTATATTTTATACGCATCCGGAATTAGGGACATAGACACCTAATTCTGGATAAAAAAAAATGCTTCTAAAATTAAATTAAAATAGGGATTTAAATTAAAAAAAGTTTTTATATCGTTTGATTTGTCTTGTTATGAAGTTTATTTATTTAAAAAAGTTATTCCAAAGTTTTTATAATGAGCGAGTTATGATGATTTAAGTACTAAACCATCCGGAATTACTTGGTTTTACGGTACCAACAAATTAAAATTGTAAAAAGTTCAGAAGTTCAGTTGTTTTTTTTAATAATTATTTTTCTTTTTGGCAGTTAAAATATAGTAATGTTAATAGGGTAAGAAAGAAGCCTATAATTATTTTTTTTCTGAATATATATATTTTCTGAGTTATGGTCGGTCAAACTTTTGACCTTTTAACGCTTGAAAAGCATTTCTGAGATTTTGTGATTTTTAAACTAAATTAAAAATGATGAAACAACTGCATCTCAAGTTTGTTTTTATATTAGGAAAGTATAGATAGAACTTTTCAAAAAAAATATAATAGTAATTAAAAATACTGAGGAAAATCCGTCCTTTAGCTAAAAAGAATAAGCTGAAATCACACATTTTAAAATTTGGGGCCTACTTTAAATACATTTATCTCAAAACATAAAAAGTTCCAGCAAGATGTCTTATTGTTTTTAAAAAAAGGTTGCAATTTTTATAGTTTAAAAAAATTGAGAGGGTATTGCTTACTGAAAAACTTATGAGTCATCAACTGTCAAAAAATGTTTTAACTAGGGTTCAAAAATCCGCCATTATGAGAAATGGGAAAAGTCCCAAGAATGAATGTATAAATTTTCTATTACTCAATAATACCATTCTTTTAATGCAAAAAATAATATCTTGAGGGATAATATCGCATTATTAAATAAACGTTACGTCAAAATGATGCTAAACCTGTTTTGTTTGTTTGTTTGTTTGTTTTATAATTTAAGCGATTGTAGACATGTAAACACTTTTAATCCGATGGTTACTAATTATATATATATATATATATATATAATATATATATATATATATATATATATATATATATATATATATATATATATATATATATATATATATATATATATATATATATATATATATATATATATATATATAGAACTAAAAATATATTGAAGTAAATATAAGATTTTTTTATTTTATCTTTTTTTTTTGTTGTTATTTAGGTACCCCAAGAACACCTAACGGTCTTGTCACAGAGCGCCGCGGAAATGCATTTAACCAGAAAGTTCACGCTCCCTTCCTTACAGTGACGCGAAAAATATCTCCAGAGCTCGTTTCGAACATGGATCTCTTGCTTATAAAGCAAATCTCTAACCAGTGCGCCACGGCCGCATTAACTTTTAATTAACATAATTAACTTTTAATTAAGATAATTAATTTTTTAGGGCCGCATTAACCTTTAGTTAAGATAATTAACCTTTAAATATAAGATAATTAATAAAAAGAGTCTGCATGTTTAAATTAAATGACTATAAAACAACACAAATTTTGCGTGAAACTGACTATATGGCTATAAAACAACAATAATAATGTGTGTTTTCAATGAAAGTCTGTTGAAGACATTCATTCAAAACTCTGAATATTAACTGATTTAAATCTTTTTGCTAAATGATCTAGATGGGCAGATATATCGGATATATCGGATATGCATTTATATTTCCGGGCTAAAAACTTTGTATTCAGAACTCTTTGATGGTTATATTTTCTATATTAAGTGTTGGTAGGTTCAGGGGTATTTTTTTAATTTGTTGATTACAGAGAAATAGTATGTACTTAGTTTTTTCTATATTGAGAGACAGTTTATTGTATTTAAACCATATATTAATTTTATTTGGTTCAGCATTTGTTTTTTCGAAAAGGTTTTTGATTGTCTTTGCTGAGTATAATAAGTTTGTATCATTGGCAAACATTATAGTTTTAAAGATACTAGAGGCATTTAGAAGATCGTTTATATAAATAAGAAACAAAAGAGGAGCAAAAATGGAACCTTGGGGTACACCATATTTGGTTCTTAGTAAAATTGAGTTGCTTTTTTTATCTATAATAACACACTGTTGTCTGTTATTTAGGTAGTTTTTAAACCAATTTAAAGCTTGATTTTTTACGCCATAGTTTTTCATTTTTTCAATAAAATCTCGTGGTTGACGGTGTCAAATGCCTTTGACAAATCAATAAAGATCCCTAATGTGAATTTTTTTTTTTAAACAATATATTCATCCTATTCAATAGGTCAAGGATTGCATGTTCAGTTGAGTGTAGCTTTTGAAAAACATATTAACCTATATTCATTTAATTTATTATAGCTTATTCGTTCTAGAAGTTTTGAGATTACCGAAAGGATTGAGATCGGTCTGTAATTGTTTAAAGAATTGGCTGCTCCTGATTTATAGATTCGTATAATTTTAGATATTTTTAATTCATTAGGTACAATACCTGTTAAAACTCATGAATTAATTACTTGGAAAATTGGATTACGTATCTCCTCAAAAACATCTAACGCAACTTTGCAAAAGGTGTCATCAATCCCTGGGGACTTGGTTTTAAGTGATTTTATAACTACTTTAAGTTCGTCTTGGTTTATTTCATTTAAATTTAAAGAGCAGCGTGAGCCTGTTAAGTAACTTTTAAATGTATTATTTGTGCATTGAATTTTTAATGCAAGATCAGCACCAATATTAGCAAAGTAGTTGTTAAATTCATTTGAAATATCTCGCTTGTTGTTTGATTCAATTTCATAAATTATTAATCTAAAAGGCATTTTCTTAAAACTTAAGTACTAAATGTTATAAATTTCCTTATAAAATTAACAAAAGATACAACAACAGCCGAAAACAAAATAGCCAATTGGTACGACAGCCGAAAATACATACATGAGTTGTTAGGCTGTCAGCAAAAATACTTTTTAGCTTTTTAGAGATAGTTTTAAAAAGCTGTTTCTCCACGCGCAGGAAGGCGGAATAATTTCAAATAAAAAGAGCACAAGAAATCTATACTTTTACATCAAATAACAGTAATCAGACGCCGTTCCTAAATAAAATTATAGGGGTGTCCCACTTCACCCGCGTCTTCACCCGCGTCCCACTCTCTCCTATCATAAAATAAAAATCTTTTTTTAAAAAAAAAATTAAAGAGTGTTTAAATTTAGAAAGTTTTTTTTATAGTTCTTTTAAATATATCAATTGATTTTATATTTTCGTCAAGAACCGAATTTCACAAGCGTGGTTCCTGACATGTAATTGAGCAGTCAGAATTTTTTAGTGATGTTGGTGGAATGTAGTAATTTTTTATCAAGTGTTATGTTTCATATTTATGATTAGTGAGAGAGAATTTTTTTTTTAATAATTTGGAATTATTTCATTTTTGAAGTTAAAACCTAAATAACACTTATTAAATACTTGTCCAGGAATCAAAATTAGACCAAATCTAATTTTGATTCCTGGACAGGAAGTGCAAAAAAAGTGAACTATACGCATTACACTGAAAAATATACTTAATACTTTTTTAAAAATAAAAAAAGCATAACTTTTTATTAACAGTTTGTTTACAATGACCTTATAGTAAACAACCATTTCTTCAGCCGAGAACCAAGAGGTCGTATGTCCACATTTTGTGTTTTTTCTGATTATTATCAATAAATATTCAAAAATCAATATAGTATGTATCCAATAAATCAAGATACAAATCAAAGTGTTTCAAGATACAACTTTTAAAAATATTTAAAGAATTAGTCGGACATTCCTGCAGTAAGTCTTTACAAATTAAATTTTAAATTTTGATTTTCTCGGAAATACAAAAAATGGACATACGGCTGATGATTTGTCTAATTTATTCAAACTCAATACAAAGTGATGGATTACAGATTACATGGTGAATAGATGAAGTTGTAGAAGAGATAAGATCGCAATGAAAATTTTCATAAAATTTTTTTTCATAAGTTAATTTACATTTTTGTTAAAAAAAAGGAGAGAGGAGGGGGGGGGCTATGCTATGACATCCCATACCAAACAACTGAGTAAGTTGTGGTTGTATATTATGGTTTGTTAGCTTGTAATTTTAATTAAATAAGTGCTCTAAAAAGTTACAAATTAAGGCACTACATGAGTTGATGAGTTTACAACGGAAAAATCACAGGTGTCCAAAGCGAGCTGTAAAATTTCTTGTATTCAATTGAACACTGTAAATGTTTGTATTTAGCAAAAAGACTGCATTTATATATTGTATTAGTACTAAAATGTTATAAAAAAATACTTTAACTAAATAAATTATCAATAAACAAATATCTGATGTCTCTAAACACAAACTTTTATTTTTTTAAAATAAGAAATATGTGACATCTGAGGTTTTGCCCGTGTGCCCGTCTAAATGAAAAATTTCCTAGGGTAAAAAGTATTGAAAAAATTTCCTAGGGTAAAAAGTATTGAAAAAATTATTTTTATTTGAGTTAAAATCTCATATTATTATATTGTACTTTTCTCCCAAATATGTAAAACAGTTTTTAAATACAGTACTATTAAACAATTAAGTGCAATTTATTAAAATAACATCCAAGCTTGATTTATATTTTCACTTCACCCGTAAATAAATATGTGCATATAAAAAGGGATATCGACTAAATTGATATACGCATTTATATGTGTAAAATGGATATCAACGTATCACTAGTTGTATTAAAACTATACCAAGTGCTTTGCGCAGCATATTTTGGTTGTACATTATTTATCGAAGAGACTAAAACCATGACAGAGTAACTGGTCATACTCTTTAAACCAATTATATTTGCAAACGTACGACTCGTTTGTAACGTCTTTTCATTAGAATTATTACCCCCAGTGTAAATAACTGTATACAAAGTAGCATTTGAAAATTTATCCCAAAAGATTCTGAGGCTTTTGCTTGTAGCTACCGAAGTGAGAATTTTGATATCAGTAAAGTTATCTAAATATAATTTAGTATATTAAAATTTTATTTAATAAACATTTAATCAAAGAAAAAATTAATAAAAATCAGTAAATGTAATTTTAATTATTTAACGGTTAAAAGCTAATAAAGTTGAAAATAACTAATTAAAAAAAAAGAATTTAAAAAGCACAAATAAACAAAAAAAAAAAAAAAAGGAAAAGAAGAACATTTAAAAAACAATCAAATACTTGAATTTGCTGTGACACTTATCAAGTTTTTTGTTTTTACTGTTAAAGTCGTATTCATGTTATTGAACTGATAAACCATACAAGTTAGTATGTAACTGACTCCAGGAGAAAGAGAAATAGTTGTTTTGTTTTTTGATATGTAAAGTTGAAAAGGACCAGTTTTTGATAAGCCTGTTACTTTGTAACTTGTGGCATTCGGAACAGCATCCCATGCAACATCCACTCTTGTTTTATATATTGGCGAAACAATACGAAAACTAGCAATCTCTTGAGATTCTAAAAAAATATGTTCATTAATTTTATACAAATTTACTTTTAATACGATTCAACGGTTATTACAATAGTTATAAATAAAGCTCAGGGGTTGGAATTATTTTGTTCATAAATTTAGGCTATTGTGTAAATAAGTAAAACAATGACATTTCAGGGAAATCAAAAATGGGAAAAAATATTCATAACAATCAATTTTTTAACAAAATTATCTGCTGTTAGATTAAATATAATTTGTAATTTGAAGAAATCCAACTAGATATATAAAAAGAATTTTACATAGAACTTTATTTTATTACTGTACGTTTCAGTAAACAATTTAAATTACTTTTTCCAAAAAAATGATAGCCATTGTGATTAGCTGTTATTTAAAGATACAATAGATATATAGATATAGACAGACGTCTACTGAATTTATGAAAAGAAAAAGAAAAAACGTTTATTTTTGCGTTTTGCCTTGGACGTATGAACATTTATAAAGACATTTAAGAAGACATTTAAAAAGGAATTGCTGTTGATTTTGCGTCAGCTTTAAGCTGATCAGCTTAAAATCAGATCAATTTAATCAGCTCAATAGCTGTAAGGGAAAGCGATATTGGCCATGGAGAAATTACATCACAATTAAATTATACAAAATAACATGTAAAAAATTAATCTGAAATTTGTTTCTTCAACTTTGTTTAAAAAGCATGCTACAGCAGTTGGAGTGTCTGAGTATGGTTGGTCAACCTGCTTAGCGAATATTGTAATTTAATAACAAAAAAAATATATGATCATGATGGACCAACCAAGAGCAAAGCTCGTGCTTTGGTTCATAGTTTTGTAGCATCAAGTCAGTTAAATGATTTATTAAAAAGTTTACAAACATTTTCATTACCAGGAAAGAAAGCTGTTATTGTAATTTACAATATACTAACTTAACGATGACCAACACATTCTATGGTTGAACGAGTTCTTAGATAAAAGAAGAACTTATATTGCAAAAATTCAATATACCCATAAAAGGGTAAAAATACCGAGAAATAGTGAAACATAATAAATATATACTACATTTTTTTACGTAGGCTCACAAGTTTTAAAAGGTTAAAAGTATGTTACTATTAGTTACCATTAGTATTTTTATAGAAAATATTTGATGATTGAAGATGGAAAGAATGCATTTTTTCCAGAAATTTTTGCGCTGCGAAATGTACTGCTACGTGATTTATACTGATACTAGATTGGTTCAGATACTAGATTGGTTCAGGGGTAGATAGTACTGTAGTTGGTGAGCATTTATGCGTAGGTCCATACAAAAGGTTTTAGTATTCATACACTCTTAGCAGTTGCACTTGATCCAAGAACCAAATTTGGTAAAGAAGTCGGACCTATGGAAATAGAAGATATATAATAAATTGAAAGAATAGAAAGTACGAGCAGTTGATAACATTCAAATACTAAGTATCAATAATCTTCCAGTACCAGAATCACATTGTGGCGCTATTTTTAAAAGAGATTTCAAAGTATATTAGCAATGTATATTAGCTTTCAAAGTATATTAGCAATGATGAATGTAAATGATGATAATGCCGATACTACTCGTCCCATAATTGCTGAGAATAATAATGCCAAGCAGCTTGTTGACGAAAAGATAATACAGTATCCATAGAAAAGAAATTAAATAGAATTTGTACAGGTGTAGTAGAACCTAATGGCAAAACAATTTCATATAATCCATTAAAATTATGGTGCCAAAAAGCTACTCGTTTTCCCATACTTGTTCATATGACAAAGAAGATATTTTGCATTACGAGAAAATCAGCTCTAGTTAAACACTTATTCTTTAAAGCAGATTGCAGTATTGTAAATGATCCAACAAGATTATTACCTAAAAACGCTGAAGATTTAATTTTCTCACAGCTTCAACTTATAGCTATTTTCTTAAAGCTTAAACTTTAGCTTCAGGCTCAAACTGATTGCTAAAAATCAACCACCCGTTCAACGCAATGTTATAGATCAGATATGCCGACAATGACTGAAATCTAAGCGCGTTATAGATTCTAGCACCCTTTTTTGAAAAATAAACCGACATTTATCCAACATTTTTTTTTGCAAACTTCTTTTTTATTACCATTAAAACACTTTTAAGAAATATAAATGGATTTTGTGTAAATAAGAATATCTCATTCAGAGCTGTGGCTAGGGTACCCCACACAATCCAATTGTGGAGCTAATTTAGGCCCTATTTTTAAGTTTAGGGAGAGGGGGTTCCGGAAATTGAAGCAGCTTTTTTTTTTCTTGTTATAGTTTTTAAGAAAATAGGGTCCAAATGGTAACAGTGATAATAATGGCACTAGGTTTTGGAGGAGGCCTTCGACTCACTAGATATGGCACTGATTTCATGTGTTTGAAGATGTTTTAATTGATATGTAAGCTTTGTTTAAATATAACTTTTTTTTGAAAAAGTTTTGACGTCAAAAATAGTTTTTGTAAAAAAGCAATATGTGATATGTTAAAACGATAACTGTAAAGTGAGATTACTGTAAAGTGAAAAGAATTTTCTTCAAGTTGTATATCATATCACAGATCCTTTGTAAAAATTGCTTGCAATCACTAACCCCAACAACTATATTTTACCAATCTTGTGAGGAATTAAATTTGAAGATATTTCTCATTTTTGAATTGGAAAATATTTTTTTTTTGTAGTAAGTAGCGTTCTTAACGCGTTTATTGGTTACTCAATTCAAAAAACATTTTGTTATTTAATTAAACAGAAATTATAGAGAGATTTTTGTATATATATATATTATATATATATATATATATATATATATATATATATATATATATATATATATATATATATATATATATATATATATATATATATATATATATATATATATATATATATATATATATATGTATATATATATTTATATATATATATATATGTATGTATGTATATAATATATATAATATATTAATTATTACATTTTAATCTAATTTTATTTTTGATTGGACATTAGAGACAATCGTAATCTACGGACATCTATATAATATCTACGGATAGATCTATACGGATAATTTTTTTTTTAATTTTATTTAGGTGCCTCAAGAATTTCTAAAGGTCTTATCACAGAGCACCGCGGATGAGCATTAAATAGGAAGTTCACGCCACCTTCCTAACCGATGTCGCAAAATTTGAACCACAGTTACTTTGTGTCTTCCTTTGTTGTCGGCTGCTCAATCATAATCAAATATAAATATTCTCACAGCCACAGCTGCAAACTATTGTTTTTCAATTGTTATTTATAACAATTAATAGCCTTTTAAATATAGCGTTAAACGTCTATCTATTAATCCTGCTAACCAAACACGGTGTAAAATTACATTTCATTTACTAATTGCTTCAATGTTATTTCTTGAAGAATGAATTTTTATAATTTTTATAATTAAATTATAAAGCATAAACAACAGCTGCTTACAAAGTTAATGTTTAATTTTTTTCTCATGTCTTTTTGCGACATTTTGATCTGTTTTTTACCTCCGTCATCACCCAAAAAATAAAACATTTGAAAACAGCTGCAAACGTAACATAAAACGTCATCAAGGAATTCTTTAAAAAGAAGTCATAAATGATTAGTTTACAATCTAAAATAAAAAATTAGCAATAGTAATGCTAAGCATATATTTTTTTAAGTGGTAGAATATATTATAGTTTCAAATTCTTTTCTCGGCATTTTAGTGTTTGTCATAGTTTATATGTATTTTTTGCTTTTTGTATATAAATACTGATAGTATGACAATGTAAACAGGTTTCGGTGATAAGATAGTTCGTGTCAACTGCTCCGGCTGAAAAATCTATATGCAGTAATATTATTTATTGTAAATATGATGATTACAGTAGTCCAGAAGTAGAAATAAATAAATGTTCTTAACATTAATAACATAAATTTTCTTAAAAAACAACTATAAATAGCCTTACCTACAGCCAACATGAACAGTGGAATCAAACATAACAATTTGAACATCCTTAAAATAATTATTTTTTATATGTTACTGTATATATATATATATATATATATATATATATATATATATATATATATATATATATATATATATATATATATATATATATATATATATATATATATATATATATATATATTGTTCGAAACAACAAATACTGAACTGGAAAATTATAATTTATAACTCAATTCAATAAAACGGGAAAAATATTAAAAGTTTCTTGGTATTTAAGGTGGTACTACCCTACATTTTTTGTTTTTCAAAATATGATATTTTTCTTAAAATGATAAACATTTTTCGATAGTAGTTAAAAAACTGAATATAAAGGACATCATTTTTTTAATTATTTGTTTAAAAAAATGCTGAGTCAGCAAAAAAAAGCAAAAAACATGCGGTCACTAGAACATAAATAACTTGAGTAAAATTTGAGATAAAAGCTTTAAATTTTACAAACATATTGCTAAATGAATGATGGAGGGCCCCTAAAAGAATTTTTTAAAACTACAGAGCAAAAGTAAAATGGCAGATATTTACCTGTAAAAATCATAAAAAATGGTTCGTGGGGTATGTAAAATTTTAAATTCTGGTCGAAATAATAAGTATTTTTTGATTATTTTACTACCAACTTTTTCTACAACATCAATGAACAAGCTGTAAAAATTTCAAAGAAAAAGAGTAAAGAGTTTCTGAAATATTAGTGTTCTTGTTTAAAAATATTTGAAAAATATTATTCTGAGAAAAACAGCTTTTAAAATAAAAAATGTCATAAACTAAAAGAATCTCTAATAAAAAATATCCAAACTGACCACAAAAATATGATTAACCACCTTTAATATTTTGTTCAGTGTCAAAATAACCTTTTTACTAAACTAACAAAAAGTTTGTGAAAATAGAGCAAACATATAAACAGACATGGTTGCTAAGGCCGTTGCTAGGGATTCGAAAATTACCTCGTTGTCTTTAAATACTAATTTAACTACTTTATATTAATTTTTAAAGGGAAAAAAAATTATACTCGTAATTCAGCATGTTCAAACTGTTAAAATTTGAAAAAATTTTTTTTTTGTTTTTTGATGTTTTTAATAGGGTAGTACCACCTTAAATAAACAAAAATCTATCCTGGAAAAATCATATTGAGCAGGCGAAAATCAAAAATACCATCTGCAAAAAGTACTTTATATTAATCTTGCTCATTTCTTGAGTTTTGTTTAAAAAACTTTACTTTAGTCTAATTCATAGTCGCGCCACATACTCTAATATAGTGTGGGCTAATACACACAAAACAAAATTAATTAAACTATAATGCTTGAAAAGCCATGCTTGTAGAGGAATACATTAACTAAATAGAATTAAAAATTCTTCCAATGTGACTACAAATATGAATTACCAATATATAAAAAATAAAACTCAGTATTCTGATTTTTAAATAATGACATAAGACCCCAAAACATGGAAAACTTGAAAAATCAAAGACTTAAATATAATATCATCGTTTAAACCGCAAGCAAAATTGCATACTATTGATTCGTAAATTTGATTGCAATAAATAAAAATAAATAAAAATTAATAAAACATTACAAAAAAATTATTATTTGCAAAAAAAAAAACGTTAGCAACAGTAAAAATAGTATATTACAAATCTAATTACAAAATCTAATTACAAAAAAGAACTATTACTAAATTAATTTTTTACATTGATAGATGCCCAATGGCGCTGCTTAGGGAATCGGCGAAAAGGATATTTTTTGAATTTTATAAAAAATGCTCAGTATTCTTGGGTTTCTTTTTTTTTAGGTAATATACATATTTTTGGAAAAATAAATATGTGAAATAGTTATTATACCAAAATTATATTAAAATTTGTATCAATATTTTATTAATGTACTTTTATCAATCTGATACGTAAAAATTATATATATATATATATATATATATATATATATATATATATATATATATATATATATATATATATATATATATATATATATATATATATATATACATATATATATATATATATATATATATATATATATATATATATATATATATATATATATATATATATATTCATGTTAAATGCTCTTCCGCGGTGCTCTGTGATAGCTATCACAGAGCACCGCGGAAGAGCATTTAACATGAAGTTTGCGCCTTCTTCCGACAATGCGAAATATGTCCAGAGCTCGTTTTGAACTCTGAATCTCTTATTTATAATCTACTTACTCTAACCACTGCGCCACTGCAGCTTTGTTAATATTTGTATATTTTATATTTTATGAATTATTAAAGTTTTTATATTTTATAGTTTTCTACTACTCAAGTTTAAGTGAGTTAGTAAAACCTAAATCGTAATTTTTTATAAAAATTCACCTCAACAAATTATTTAGGTTTCAAATGAAATTAAATAAATTAAAATTAATTTTTGTTTAATACAATCTTTTCTGCTGATGCGCTATGCGCCTCAAAGCGGAAATAGGATTTTATTTACTTTTCTGAAAAAAAATTTCAATTTTAATATTTTTAATATTTTTTAACCAAAACAAGTTAGCATTAGTTAATAAAAAAATATTTATTTCAAGATTTTTTTTTAATTTGTCTTTTTAAGTGCGGGATTTTCAGGGGTAAAAAAAACCGGATTTCCACTAAATCTCTATATTACATACGATATTTTCTAAATTTCCTCAATTTTTTTTGCATTTTATCAAATAAATGATACATTTTGTAAATTAAAAACTAAGAAAAGAAAAAAAAAACTGTTTGGAACATTGTTTTTGTGTGTCCGTAAAGGTTCATTTGATTAGACCATGTTACTACAGAGGTAGCCAGTTTTTTATAGCGGTACATGTGTTCCTTGTCTTTAAGTTATAACTTCTTTAAGTTAAGCGTGGTTTAATGTTAAATTAAACCACGCTTTAAGTTAAATGGTTACTTTTAATCTCAGCATACTTTTGTTTGATGATTTTCCTCCAAAACATATTTTCACAAGGGATATTTTCACAAGTAAAGTATTTGCATGTGCTTTACTTTTGCAGTTCACGTTTTATTATTTTATATTGGTTACACTGTGAGTTTTAACATTTTTGAAAGTCTGCCTTTTTATTTAATAAAAATTTGTGGAAATAATTGTTTCTAACTAAACATAAAATAATAAAAACCAACAACGTAAAGATTTCTTGTTAGTATAATTTGCTTTATATATTAAGTTGTTATTATTATTGTTAAATAAGATATGAATACACACACACACACACACACGCACACACACAGACACACACACACACACGCACACACGCACACACACACACACACACACAAACGCACACACATATATATATATAATACATATAGTGTATTTATAAATAAATACAATACATAACTTTTTAAATAACAATAAATAATATAAAAAAGATTAGAAAACGATCCTGAAATATAGATTAATACATATGAGGAGGAACAGCAATTAATAAAAATATCTCATTAAACAGAGTAATCAGCATCATCAGGTGGAATAAACGTTTTTATTCCACCTGATGATGCTGACCGCAATTGGTCATCGAAATATTGTAAATAATACCAAAATGTATTTAAAACAAAAAGTTTATATGCATTCTTTGTAATCAAACTCATTAAACATTAATATCGTATAACAAGGATATATATATATATATATATATATATATATATATATATATATATATATATATATATATATATATATATATATATATATATATATATATATATATATATATATATATATATATATATATATATATAAAATAATTTCTGGTCTAATTATATACATATATAGACACACAAATTATTTTTACTATGTTTCACAAAAACATTTCTAAGTTGGACATTTTTGTTGGCCTTGTATATACTTTAATGTATCTTTTTATTGTTTATAGTGTACCACAAAGAGCACCTAAATCAGAATAAATTGTTTCGAGACTTACTCATTGATATGAACAGCACGACTACAAGAGTGGATATAGATTTTCAACCAGAAATCTGAATATCTATTTGTAATCATTACTAATAACATAAAAAAAGCCATACCTGTCACAATCTGTACAATCTGTATTTTAAGTATCATCCAATGGGTTCTTTGTCTGAGAGTGCGATTGAAGCCAGAAACAAAGAAAGCAAAACTGCACGAGTTAGTCATGCACCTCTAACTTTTTTGGCAGAAAACAAGAAAAAAAGAAGAGATACAGTTAATTATTTGTTTGTGAATTTTGATATGTACCTCTATTGAATGTTTTATTTTAATGTTATGCTATTGTTAGTAGTTAAGACTATTTTTGTTAGACTATTTTTATTAATTTTTTTTTTGGTAAAGAAATCTCAATATAGTTTATAATAACAATTCAAAGTTTTGTTGTTTTTTGTTTTTAAAAAATGTTTAAGAAATAATTTAATAAATTTTAACTAGCAATTAACTAATCCAAAAAGATCTCTATCATAAACTAAAATGTTATACTGATTAGACGCGGATGTAGCATTTTTTGATGTTTGAGATATTTGACCTTAGTTCCCTAAATGGAGCAAATTCTATGTTTATATTTATATTAAATAAGGATGCTTTGCAAAAAATTACGATGAATGGAGCATGGGAACAAAAAAAACCTAAAACTTTAGCTACACGTGCCCCAAACGTGAGAGCAACAAGTTGATAAAATACTTTTTTTTACTATTCTAAACCCAGTTTAAATTCATCGATAAATTTTAAAACTCACACAAAAATATTTTAGTGTTCAACAATTATATGGCCTTGTAAAATTTGCAACCCCTTCAAATTGCGGGGGGTTCAAACTTTTAATGGTCATAATTTTTGAACACTAAAATATTTTTGTGTGAATTTTAAAATTCATCGATGAATTTAAATAAATTTAAATGAATTTAGATAAGAATAGTATAGAAATATTTTATCAACTTGTTGCTCTCACTTCTGGGGCATGTGTACCTAAAATTTTAAGGTTTTTTTGTTCCCATGCTCGAATTTTTGGAGTTTTCTCCATGTCTGGAAGTTAGCTATCACAAACATCAGAAAATGCTGCATCCGCGCCTGCTGATAAGCTGTTCTGCTATTTTCATAGCCACTAATTATTAAAAAATTAGAACATTAAAAAACGTAAGAAACCAAAGAACAAAGAATCAGATAATAACTGGTTTGTTTATAATTTTAATAAGTTTATATTTAATAATCATGTTCATAAATTTCTAAAAATGTTTGTAAAACTCTATAAATTATCGGCGCCGTTTTTTTGAATAAAAATATCAGGACATATATAATTTTCCAGATTAGTCAGAAATTAGTACAGATAAACCAAAAAAAAATACAGTATGCTGTTTTTAATAAAAACCGGATATTTTTCTTTTAAATATAAAAATGCAAACAAAAATTCGATGTCTTGTGAAAAAATCAGCTCAATTTGTTTAATGCTTCCTTACTTATAAGCCTATTTCCTCATTTTGTATTAGAACGACGCACAGTGACTCAAAACAACAAAAAATGGCAATAAACCCCTCACCACTTTTTTATAAATTAAGTGCCCTTTATTAGTTAATATTAAAAGACAATGATTTTTTATTTCAAAAGTAAAAATATTTTTTTCATAAAGCTTTTATTTTGTATTTTATAGGTAAAAGAAGTGAAAAAATTTGATATTATTTTTAAAGAAATCTGAAAAATGTGAGCTTTTTATTCAACTAAATTAGAGAACTTGAAATTTAAATAAAAGTGTATATTTACTTTTAAAATAATATTTTGATTCTATATATTTCAAATATACTAAAAAGAAAAATAAAAGTCTGATTTTTTCGTTTAAATTTAAAGACTTCTTTAAAAAAAAGTAGAAAATAATTGTATTTTTTTTTGTTTATATATCAGCTAAAAAAATGTTCCACCGAATTTCAAAAATATATATATATTTTCCAGTTAATTAGCATTTCTACTTTAGGAATGTAAAAGGATTACTGCGGTCTCCTGCGGTATTGGAAGTTATTAAAGAAAAACAAATGTTGATGATTTTATAAAAACTTTGTTTTCCGCCATTTTCCTAAGAACTTTATTATATCAAAACAAATGAAATTGGCGGGAAACTTAAAGTTAAGTTTCTTGCTTGTAGAACTTGTTCTAATATAGTTTTTAAATCATAAATATTAAATATAGTTTTAAAAAACGTGCTTTTGTCATTATATACTATTTAAAAGTTTGTTAAAATATTTATTGACAATTTTAAAGAACGATTTATTATTCGATAAGTACAACATGTTTGAAAAAGCTTAATTTAACTAAGTAATATGTATTATTACAGGATGTAACATCCTGTAATAACACATATTACTTAGTTACTTTATATTACATGTAATATAAAGTTAACTAAGTAATATGTGTTATTACAGGATGTAACAATTTGGTATTTCTTGAAACGGGAAATACCAAAGTTGTTCAATTAAGCTTTTTCAAACATGTACTTAAACATGTACTTTTTCAACACATTTACTTAGTTAACTTTATATTACATGTAATATAAAGTAACTAAGTAATATGTGTTATTACAGGATGTAACAATGTAAAAATTGTTAAAAGTCATAACAAGATAAAATTTGAAACAGTGTAAAGTAAAAAAATATGTAATGTAATTTAAAATGTGTCTAATATATTAGTTTTATTATATTGATGGTTCTTAAAAACGATAACAATGAAAAGACTAGATCTTATCCCAAATATACGTGAATTAGGAGTTGATAAATTAAAATTATGGAAGGATTTACTTAATGAAATAAAAAGTATTGAAAAAATTCGCAAAGAAAACTTAAATAAAGTTAAGCTTGCTTTAGTTATATTTATTTCAAAGGTGAAGAAAAAACTAAAACAATGTGGACGAAACTATGATACATTTATACAAAAAGGAAATCGTTGGCTTCAAAGAAATCTTATAAACAATAAAAATAGCCATTTTGGTTCTGGAAGCCCCATAAACAATGGAGTGTTCTTGGAGAGAGAAGCAAAAGAAAAAAAATAAAAGAACTAGCCACTGAACATCAAGAAGCTCTATTTTGCTTATGCAAAAAGTACAAATGCTGCTGGAGAAAAAACAAAGCCTCTGTTTTAAAAAACAATATATCTAATGTTTTATGATCAGAAGCTCAGCTCTTGTACACAACGTACATATTTATCCTACCTTGCACAATATTTTCGTGGAAAAATTGAAATGCTATCCTGAGAATATACATTTTTCTGAAATTTCTGCAAAGTGTACTCTTCAAAGCATGTTAGATCACACTGTGAGTAGAATAACAGAAATGATTGATATGCCTAATTTTGATAAAATGATGAAATTTTGGAGTTTTATATGGAAAGATTGGTTTTGATGGAGCATCCAGCCAAAGTATTTATAAACAGAAATACGATACAAGCAACGCAAGTATAGAACTTAAGCATGAAGAAAATTTTTTCAGTACAGCTTTTGTGCCTTTATTGCTCAAAGTAGAAGATAGCGAAATTTGGAAAAATGAAAATTCTTCAAGCTGTCACTTTTGTAGACACCTCTTCATCTACAATATAAAAAAGAGAGTCTAATTTTATTCAGAGAAGAAGAATCAGATCTAAAAAATCAAATAAATACCTTAAAGACGTTTTGCAAAGTTTTTAATATTGCAGGAAGAACTTTGACATTTAATATCAGCTATAGAATTAATCTTACAATTTTTGATAACAAAGTAGTTAGCGCACTTACAGAGACAAAATCCACTCAATCCTGCAATGTGTGCAATGCTAAACCCAAGGAAATGAACAATACTGATTTATTAAAAGTAAAAACTGAGAATGACTCGGCCTTGGGGCTTGGAATTTCAGCTTTGCATTGCTGGATAAAATGCTTAAAGTTCATTCTTCATTTGAGGTATAAAATTGAAATTAAAAAGTATAAGCCAAAAACAATTGAGGAAAAACTATCTGTAGACTTAAAAAAAAGAGAGATTCAGGTACTTTTCAGAGAACGGTTAAGCCTATACGTTGATATGCTTAAAACTGGGCCTAAAACTCAAATGATAGAAATATCAAGTAGTAATATTATCAAAATTATGTGTTTGTCTTGAAGATTCTAAAAACTGAAAAAAAATTTTGTACGTGTATAGTCACCTTTAACACGCGCATTTTACGCGTCGAAGCTGCGCGTTAAAAAAAAAATTATTAACAAATTTGAAATCTTTGACTTCAAAATTATTATTTTAGTATATAACATTATTTATTTACGATTTATGTCAATTTTTATTTAATTTTTGCCGTTTTTTGATTGTCCTGAGTCACTGTGCGACGCACAGTGAGTCAAAATCTATAAAAAACTATTGTTAGAAAATAATTAGTTTAACTATAATGTAACTAAATACCACTAAAAGACAATAATTAATTTTTTTGTGAATAATTTTTAAGATTTCACCGATTTATACGCCTTTTTCAGATACTTATTTATTTTATTTTTATTTATCAGAAAACTCGTTTAAAAAAGTCTCGCTTTAGTATCACTCTTTTAAGGTTGATATGGGTAAAAACAGTTCAAAATTATACTCTGACAAGGATATTAACTTTTACGGAATGCTAAGACTTTCTATGAGAATGTTTGTTAAATTTTTTTTTTTTTTTTGGGGGGGGGGGGGAAAGGGGGACTTAAAGGTCTGCTTCACTTTAAAGATGGTTTTGATGGTGCCTCTAGTTAAAGTGTCTATATACAAAAATATTCTGATAAAAATATTAATGAGGCTCAAGTTAACGAGCAAAGTCTTTTCCAGACAGCTATTGTTCCACTCAAATTAACCATCATGAACAAAAATGTATGGTTAAATTAAAAGCCCTCTCGTACACATTACTGTAGACTCCTATATCTCCAATATCAAAAAGAAACGGAAGAAATGATAAAAAATGTGTATGAATTTGACTAAAAATGTGTAATGAATAGACTAGTCAAGTTTGAAGTAAAGTTAGAAGTAAAGAAAGGCAAACCGAATACGACTATAACATTTAAGTTTTAACTAGATTTAACTATGTTTGATGGTTAATACCGTCACTAACACTCTGTCATCCCAATTATGTAATGTTTGCGGAGCTAAGCCCAGTGAACTTAATAACCCGGCATTGATCAGATCTAAACTAATCAATGAAAAAGCTTTATCTTTGGGCCTTTCTACTCTGCATTGCTGGCTCAGATTTTTTAAATATATATTACACTTAGGATATAAGTAGACATTAAAAAATACTTTGCCAAATCCCCTGCTGAAAAAATATTAGTAAAAAGTAGAGAAAAAAACATTTAGCTAAGAATTAGAAAGGAGCTAAGTTTTATAGTTAATATTCTTAAACAGGGTTTTGGCAACATTAACAATGGAAACACGGCCAGAAGGGCATTTGAAAATGATTAAACTTTTGCTGATATAATGGGAGCAGCAGTAGATGTAATTATTAGATTGAGGGCAATTCTAATATTAGTATGCTTCTGTTATGAGTTGAACTCTGAAAATTTTGGCCAGTATTGCTATGAAACTACAGCTCTTATACTCAAAAACCATTGCTGGTATGTGATTCCCCAAATTTTCATAAACTCTTGGAACATGGTATGCAGAAATCTGCTTTGGCAATTGGTTACTACTCTGAAGAGTCACAAGAGGCTCTAAATAAGGAAATTCGCAAAGCTAGATTAAACCATACATCCAAGATATCTAGAAAGAATGTTATGAAAAACCAGTACCAATACTTGTTGATTAGAGTGATTCTGTAATATCAAACATTTGTTTCAAAAAATACAAGGTTAAAAATGGAAAAACACATACCACTGAAGTTTTATCTTTGTTAATGCTGTAATAATGTAATAAAGCTTTTTATTAATATTAGGTTTTCTTTTTTTATTTTCTTTAAAGAAAAATCAGATAAGATAATTGTTTATTTTGTATTTAATATACTTTAATATTGTTATTATATTATAATCTTATTTGAATCCAATTTTTGATTTTTAATTAGTAAATTTTTTGGTTTGAAGAATTTAATTATATTAAATTAAGTCACTCTTTGTGCGCGTGAAAGATTTATTTTTATGCGTGTGTGGTACGAGCCGTAGGTACAAGAAAAATTTATATCAAAAAATATGTGGTATTCTTTTATATGCTATATTGGATCAAAAAATCCGATTTTTTTATTTAAGTCATGTTTTGCGCACGTAAAAGACACTTACACGCGTAAACGCGAGTTGTACGCGTCATAGATATTTGACCCAAAATACGATAGTATTGTATCACACGTTTATATATGATAGTTATATAATTTTTGCCGTTTTTTCACCGTTCTGACTAACTGTGCGACGCATAGTGTGATGCTTTAAAAAAATTTCCTAAAGTTTTTTTGTTTTTTGATTACACAGAATTAAAGAGTTTTAAAAAATTTCTTGTTAAACTTCTTTAGGATTTTGCTAAGTCGGTTTGCTTAAAATTATTTTAATAAATAATTTTAAGCAAAAATTTGGATGTGATTATAGATCATAAGAGTGAGAATTTTTACAATTGTGTTTAAATTCTTAAGTTTCCTAAAAACATGTTTTTTTTTAAACTCAAAGTTTTCCACTTAATAAATCAAAGTAAAGAAAAAAAAAAAAAATGCTGATATTAGTTGCTCTTTTTTTTCTTTTTCCTTCAGATATATTTTTCTAAATAATTTTGCAATAATTAAAATAATTCCAGCACCGAGCAAAGTACTTAAAAATAGCATTCAAAAAATTGAGATTTCACAGGTCTGGAAATTATAGCTGAGATTAAGATTCCATAATACACCGCATTTATATTATATTAAATTATATAACATAAAATCTTGATAGGTATATTACATTTTAAATATATTTTAAAAGCTTTCATATTATTCACAGTTAGATTTTTGTTGTTTTTCTTTTGAACAATCTAATTGATTATCTTGCGGATCAGATATTTTACGGAAATATCTTGATTGTTTAAATTAATAACCGACTGATGGCAATTTCTTGAAAGAAATGAGCACCTTAATTTTACTTTTTACGTATTTACTTTTTTCTCTTCTCTTATGTCATTAAAGTGTATAAAATAAAAGGTTTATGAATCAAAGACACGTTTATTGTTAACTATAGTTTTATTGAAGGTTTATTCACGCTCCATATTAAACATACTCATTTATCCGTAGATTGCTAAATTTGCAAAATATATATTGTTTCAATCTTATTTTTATATAATTATATAAAAAATACTTTTTAGTTTCTAGCAGTTTATGTATTATACATAAATATATACAGAGGTGTTTCTTCAAATTTAATGAGGAGCGGGGATTGGGGTTAATACTTTAAAAGTATAGACTGCTTTTTAAATATAATTTTTTTTTTAGGGATAGGCGTAGTGAGACTAGATATGATTTAGCCGTAAATGTGCGCATACATCGACTAATGTACTTACCTGTCGGTTCAGTGGAGTATACAAACGACTTAGGGTTTTGGTTTAGGCAGGTGGTTTATTAATTACAGAAAAGTTTTTTTAAAGTTTTTTTTTAATTTTTTTCCGTTATTTTTTTTTTAACTTTTTAAAATCTGGACCTAAAGTATGCATATTTTGGTCAAAATTATGTTACATAAAGCAAGCAATATATATTGTTTACAAATATAAAATAAATTTAAAAAAAATATTCTTTTTGCATTTGTATATATTATTTATATAATAGTGTATTTTTAATATAATATAAATGATGTATTTATGTAAATACACTTTCCCAATAAATAGTTAACAAAATGCTACTTGAATAGAAAACATTAAACAAATATTCAATATAAAGAAACGTTTTTTACATTGCAATTTTCTTACTTCAGTTGTTGTTACTTTTGATTTTTATTTCCTACAGATCCTAATGCTGTAAATTCTAAAGTTTAAAATGTTAATTAAAGGAAAATAACAAAAAAAAGGATGTTAATACGTTTAATTAATCCATTTCTTACGTCTTTCGTACGAAATAAATTAATTAAAGTTACGCAACATTCTTGTTTCTCGGATCTACGATTGAAAAATTGAAGCTTTTTAGATTTTTGAACTTTGTATCATAATTGCAAAGTTTGTGAGTTCCAAATATGACATTTTTTTCGAAAATTAATTTCGAATTTTCCTAAATAAGAATTTCTCAAAAATACAGGAGAAAAATATATTGTGGAAACAAAAAACGCCATAGATAGATTTAATGAATTAAAGATATCTATCTAATGAATTAAACAAAACATTTCTAATACGTATAAAACATAAAACCTAAACGTTTAGTACGTGTATTATTTAAATAAAATATGTTTAAACGTAAAGGTAATAAATTTATGTTATGATTAATCAGTTTTTTTTTTTAAAAAGTGCTGACCTGAATCACAAAATGAAATTAAAAACTTATGCTTATTAAATACTACAGTGCATAAAGTTAAGGTTTTTATTTTTATTTCATATGAAAAAACAATTAGTTACTTCAAATATGACCAGCGTAGTTTTACGCTAAATTTTTTTGTTTGAACTATATTTTTTTTGTCTGTACTTTTTTTGTCTGTACTTTAACGATAAGTATTGTGTTACTTAATCATTATATAATACGGGAACACTAGGTATCCTTTTTAATTTTCTTTAAAGTATCGTTAGAATGTACGTGACGGTTAGCGAGAAGGCAGGCATATGTCTTTTTTGCGACAAATCGTTACAAACATTCAACAATAAAAAAGTTGTAACCAAAAAAAATCTTTATTCTTATTAAAACTTGTCGACTAACTTAATAGATAGCCATAAATTAATCGACTAAATTTTTAATATTAACTAAACTTAGTATTAACCAAACGTAATATCAAACAACTTAGTATTAACTAAACGTAATATTAAATAAACAACTTTCTATTTTCTAAAATTGGTTAAATAACTTTTTAGTCTCACTAAAATTGTTCCACTAATACTACAGTTTTTAAAAATATATATTGCTACTGGGAAAATTCAAAATTAATTTAAATACTTAGTTTTGAATTCACAAATTTTGTAATCACGATACATGTTAAAAGCTTCAATTATTTAGTCATACATTAGAGAAACAAGAAGCAGTAGTTTAATTATGGCGATCAAAATACCACATAACTTAATATTTTAAAAAAATTAAGGGTTTCTTCTTGAAGGTAAAAGGGTTGTAACAAATAGAATTGAAGTTTAAAATAATAATAAAACCATATTCCCGCGGTTCTCCCGCGGTTGTTAAGCTCATTTTTTTAAATTTTAAAGTAAAGCCAGACTAAGTTAGAACATTTGCATAACTGCAAATTTTTACATTCCAAAAATGGTTAATAAGATAAAATTTATTTTATGTTTAGTTATATGTTAATCAATTTATAAAAAATAGATGGTATGATATTCCTCAAAGGTGTTTACGCATAACTATTTTTAGATTTTCAAATAATTTTTTTTGAGAAAATAAAACTTTATTTAGTTTTAAATCTCATAATAAAGAAGCAGATATTTAGACGTCAATATGATGAAAACAATTAGACAAAATATTTTATTAGTTCTGCCTTTTTCTAAATGATTAGGGACTGATATGTTATATTACAATACATATTTAATCATCGGAAATATTAAAATTGAATGAGAACTAATCCGTCATAATCCAGCGTAGTTATGAGGATAATAAAAAAATTATGACTGAAATAAGAAAATACATCTAAGAAAAATCATTTACATCTTGTTACTTTTTATGTCCAAACGATAGTATAAGTGTTGTAAGCATTTAAAGATTGAAAATCATGCAATTTAGAAAAACCAGTTTTTTTTTTAATTAAGTCTATAACACTATATGTTTTGGTTTTTAAAGTCAAGTTGTTAAAGTTATTTTCGACAGATTTTGAGACCGACTACATTTAAATGTTGTAAAAGGACTGATGCAACACCTAAATTCTAAATTATCGCGCTTTAACCAACTTTAATTTTTAACTCAAAAGGTTGTCCATCCAGTTTTACTGATAATATTCCATTTTTCTGCAAACTTAGTTGATATGTTTGCTACCTTTATTTCTATCTTTTTTTGCACATTACTTTTTACATCTTCTTACTAAACTCATACAGAATAAAGTTACACAGAAGAAAATTTTGTTCTTCCTTCGAATTTTTGCCTTTCTTCAATTAGTTCCAATTTTGCAATAGAATACACTCAAATTAAAAAAATTAAATAAAAATTAAATGGAAACTATGAAAGTATGGAAACTAAGTTTTGAAATTTTTATTTTTTAAGGTAAGATAAAGACTGCTAAAAAAAGTAGAAAAAATCGGTTTTTCAAAATTAGCATTATTTTACACAGTAACTGTTGTAGAATCTAAAAGTATATAGATCTTCATATGAGAAAAAAAAATTAGAACTGAAAATTGAGAGTTATTTAAACAGAGTAAGTTTGCTTCCCATAGTAACGCTCATAGCAACAATTCGTTAAGGTTAGAAAAAAAGAAATATTAAAAAACAAATAAAAAATCTTAGAGCAAGCAGGAAAGGGTTCGATAATAAATACAATGATAAAGAGGAAACAGTATATGAAAAAGATTTCAATCTGTTTCTATAACTTTGTATATTCAATATATTAAATTTTATACGCATTTTTCTTTGTTTTATATTTTTAATTTACAGTCAAAGATTGCAAGAGCTGTAATTGTCCAATTGACTTCAAATTTTGTACAGAGATTCATTATAATGAATTTTATATCCTGAGATATAAAAATTAATAATACAAACTTTTAAATAAAACTTTTTTTTTATATATCAGTCCATAATATCAGAAATTTGGTTTAAAATTAGACGCATTAAAATATCTTACGATGCTTTAAAATAAAAATATTGTAAACAAAAATTTTAATCTCAAGCCATTCATCTACATAAGAGGAATATATCTGTAAAAAATTAGAACTTAAAACATTTTACATTTTGAGTTATTTTTGCCAAGATTTTTTTTAGCATGTTTTTGGCCTAAAACCACCCGTTTTTGCTCAAAATTTATTGAAAAAAAAAATTAAAAATAAATTTTTTTAAATGTACAATGTTTAAAAAAAAAAAAAAAAAATGTTAATTAATTTTTTAAAATGTATCATGTTAGAAGTAAAAAAATCAATTGAAATATTGTCAAAAATAATTTTTTAGTAGCCACCTTAACACCTCGTTTTTATGGTTATAAAACAGTTATGGCAAAAAATATCAAACAATACAATATTTATAGAAATTCATAATTGCTGGACATTTTCTTACCATGTGGTACAACGTATCGGGGATTGAGGCGTGATTTTGATGAGCGAGGAACTTTGGCATTGTATGCTGAAAACTGCATACCGCTTTCTAATAAAAATTGTACTTGCGCATGTTTAGCAAGTGATGTTGTAACCATACTCTAATATAATTATGATTAAATCACATATGATTTTAATGTATATAGAGCATATAAAATATTTTTCTATTTGTAGATAACTTTGCAATATCCCACTTAACGCGTGTTGTTTAGTGTATTGCAAGCATGTATATTTTGCTTTTATAAGCACTTACTTATAATAATTATGACTTGCCAAATTCCTTTGCCCATAAATGTATACCAAAAAATTAACATTTAAGCGTTAATGGTCCAACACTAATGGTCCCCTTAACTGTGTCTGACGGAAATATCCGTCACTGCAAGGTATAGCTGTCTTGGTGTCTGACGGATTATTCAGCTTAGTGAAACTTTTTTTTTTGTAATAAAACCTTTACAATTTACGGCTATACGAAAAAAAATTTAACAACTTGAAATAATTCTAAACAAATATATTTTACCCTAATAGAGAATATAACTTAATATAATCTACGCCACAGTTAAGGTGTTTAGGAACACTTGAATACTTACCAAGTTGTAAAAGTTTTTGTTACGTATTAATAAGAACAAAAAAAACTAATGACCAAGGTGGACGCCAGGTTAGGTTGTTTCCAGATCTGATTTTTCATTTTGGGTATTGAGATATAAACTAGTTGACTCAAGTTATAAAGCTTAAAACATATAAAAAAAATTTAAAAAAAAAACGAATTCCTGGCGCATTCCGTTAATTGTATTGCGAAATGTCTTTAAGCATGTTGCTACAACCATAAGAACAGTTTAATAAAAACATTTTTTAGAAAATTTTGAAAAAAACTTATACTTGAATTTAGAAAAATATGAACAATTAGTAATGAGGTATTTCAACAGTAAATCAACAAACACCAAGTCTGTGGAGGAATTTTGTTACATTATCAAGTTAAATTCGCTCATAAATTAACCTACTAGAAATACAATGTTTTTACTTTTTTGACGTAAATAGTAAAATTTTAAATTTCCTGTAAAGCTACAAAAAAAAGGCCATAAGAATTAAACTAAATTATTATTGGTTAACACACAAAACTGAATAGTTAAAGTTACTCGATTGGGTCATAAAGTATTACATATAAAATAATACATATAAAAATAATACATAATACATATAAAAAATATAATAACTTTTAAAGCATTGTTTTATTCATCGTATAACATTAACTGGAAATGAACTATTTAAGTAATTCTATGTTAAAAATTAGTTACTTTTACAGAAGCTATTTGTTTTTCAAAAAGAATAGTAATTTAAGGACGTTTTGTAAAAATACTCAATCAAATGTGAAAAATATAAACGTATATATACGTATTTTTTAAAAATAGATTCAACTTTCTCACTTTTAAATACAAGGTAAAACACTTTATAACGTAAAGTCATTACGTTAAAACTTAATGTGACTATTAAATTTTCAAAAAAAATATTTAAACTTAATATATTTTTGAAAGTTTAATAGTCGCATTAAGTTAATGACTTTTTGTTATAAAGTGTTTTAGCTTGTATTTAAAAATGAGAAAGTTAAATTTATTTTTTAAAAATATGTGAAGTTTAACCAAATAATAAAAGACATGATAAAATCTTTCTTGAATTTTATAAATTTCCTATTTAATTCCTGATAATTAAGTCAACTAAATAAATTTTTACAGATATTTAATTCTTAAATTGTATTTTTGAATGCAATTTTATTTCCCTAATGCTTAAAATTTTAAGGAAGCTCTAGAAAGTTTCAACAAACTGATCCAAAATTCAAGTTCGCGCTATACAGCAAAAACATCGTGACATAACGTTTGATATATCACCATAATGTTATAACACTAATGTTATAAAGATATCAACATAATGTTATAACACTATTGTGTTATATAACATAATTGTGATATCTTTTATATATGAAATCATCAACCCACTATTTGTTTTTATTAAATCGGATCCAAAAAGATCAAACATTTCATTTGCAAACCATAAAGAGTATTAAAGGTAAACATTACCAACAGAATCTTGTTAATGATCAACCTAATTTTTTTTTTTTTTCTGCGTGTAACAGAGTTTTACCCGGGCTAACATGCATGTTTGACGCAAAGAACTACGCTCTATATATTTTGGTTTCTAAAACCTAAATTTCAAAATATAAATAGAGATATAAGTTGTTTCAGTTCAAAAAAGCCTGATTGACGAGTAGCTTTGGTAGGGCGGATCCAAACCATGTAGAAAAGATAGAGGGTGGGGGCAATTATTAGAGGCTCAGCAACCTCAAAGCATAATTTTTTTTTTAGTTAATTTTGGTTTGAATATCAGTCATATACTTTCTTAAGCAGTGTAACTATAAATATATTTTTACGTAATTTTCATTAACTGATCGTTAAGAATAGGCGTTACATTAATGTTTAAATATTTTTGATACTTTTGCGTGTTTTTTTTTATAAAGAGCTGAAAAATATATCTCACACACAAAAAATTTTTTCAAAATTAAGTAAGGTGGGAAAGGAGGGCAATCGCCTCAATGAAAAAAAAATCAATATTTGATTCCCTTGGCCTACAAAATCTCTATTTTGATGTAAAATAAATATTAATAATATTGAACAGCTATGGCGCAGTGGTTAGATTGGTTTTTGACCCAGAACCACGAGGTTTGTGGTTTGCGATATCAAGTCCAATAAGTGACATTAGTTAGGAAGGAGTAGGAAACTTCCTGGTTAAATGCTTCTTTAAGATGCTGTGTGATAATACCAATAGGCTTTTTTAGGGCAACTTAATAAAAAAAAGTTAACAAAAAAAAAAACAGCCGATGTTTTTAATTTAATCTGTGACATTTTAGGTAAATTTTTCATAAAATTTTACTGACTAACACTTCCGCGGTGCTCTGTGACAAGACCGTTAGGATTTCTTGGGGCATCTAAAATAATACATATAAAAAAAAAAAAAAAAAAAAAAAAAAGCTTGATAAATTCTGATTTTACATTCGGTTATAAGTTCCCGTTCAAAATTATAGTAGAGGCGGCGGTAAAAAGTCAATCGGAACTTCCAACGTTTTGTGGTCGGAGTAGAAGTATCGTTTGTTCCTACAAATAACCTTTTGACTAAATAGAAAACTAATCACTGAGTAGAATAATGTTTATTTTGAACTAGTTATTTTTGATATAGCAAAATAATTTATAAATTTGTCTGTATGTTATGTGCATCTATTAGTTTTTACTTATAATTTATTTTTTAGTAAAATCTCACTAAGTTATTTAGTCAATTTTTTAAAAAACTTCAAAAATTTTGAATATTTAGTATTTGAAAATTATTTATTGAAAATAAGCTAATTGTTGTTAAATCATGGATCAATACTATAAAAGGTTTTTTATTTTTTATAAGAAATGGGAGTTCCAGCATTTTTCCGTTGGTTATCAAAAAAATATCCATTGATAGTTGTGCATTGTGTCGAAGAAAAGGTATTTACATATAAAATAAAAAATGTTATATTTTATGTTTTAATTATATAATATATACTAAAACGATCCATATATAATATATGGATAGTTCAGGAGCAAACCAGTCTAGCAGTCAAAGTTTTAAGTTAAATGATTAATAGTTTTATAATTTTTTATTAATTAAGTAAAATTTTTTAGTTTTGTTGAAATAGATTTACAAGTTTTTTCTGCTCGAAAAAGAGTAATAATTTCTAAAAAATCTCCCAAATATCTAACAGCTTTAATCTCATTATCAATTGGTAGCATTTCCAAATTAATAAAATGCTCTAATGTTTTTCTAACTGCTGGTTCATTTTGTAGAAATCTTCAAACAGTTTTAGATATTGAATTCCAATGTATTTTTATACAGAAAATTAAAGCCATCGTTTTCCCAAATTCATTAAAACAATAGCGTTGAATATCATTTCTTAGAGGTAACATTTTGAAAAACTTTCCAATCATTTATAATTTTTTGGAAAGTGGTTTTAATTTCTTCAATTTCACATAGTTCATCAGAATATTTATTAAGTGGTATTCTTCCTAATAGACAGAAGTTTGATAATTATCATAATCATCAGCTTTTATTCTACATTGTAATGACAAAAATCTTCATCTTCTACTAGATTATTAGTTTTATTATAAAGTACTTCAACCAAGTTCATTTCATGAGAAAGACATAGTTGATGTTATTGAGGTAATCTTCCAGTTTTTTCACTACACTGGCTTTTCATCAAAATCTTAAAGCTTTAACTTTTATTGAGCCAACAATCCTCATTATTCCAAGGCATCGAATTGAGTTATCTAACATGTATAAGTTTAGGCAAATATACCCTTGATTTCTATGGGGCTTCTAATTGAAATCAAAGATTCTATTGGAAGTTCCAATAGAAATTCTATTGGAAATTCATCTAAATTCAATGAAAGTCTGTCATTATTCTCAATCATTTTTGACAAGTCATATAGCATCTTATTTTTAAGCTGTTCTCCATTTTCCAAAAAAATTGAAGTATTATTTGTATTCAATAGAATTAAAAAATGGCAGTCTAATTGTTAAAAAAAATATTTTTTTTGTAACCAAAACCAATAATATTTTAAAAAGTTGTTAAAACAAAAAGTTTAAAAGGTAAAAGACATAAAGAAAATTTTTTCTTCGTTCTTTTTTTTAACAAAACAGCTTGGTTTCTATCTTTATTTCAATATGTTGCACCAAATTAACTTATTAATACTTATTAATAATTTAAATTATTATTTTATCAACAATTTTATATTATGATTTTTACAACTTCAAGTATATTAAAATATATATTAAATTTGTTTTTATTAAAAAAATCTTCTAATAGTTAAGCAATGGTAATAAATACAATTAACTTTTTTTCTTCAACGTTTTTTTGCTTTAATGACCTTGAACTTTTTAAAGTTATATTTTCTCTGATATACTGAATGGATAAAGTACATCACTGTAAATTTACTTATAAACAAAATCAAAGCAACCAGTTAAGTTACTAAGTAACTTACAGTTACTTAAATATTAACTTATCAACTATATTAATTTACTTAATATACGCATAGAATCTGAATAATTAACCATACAAATGTTTCTATTTATATCTTATGTTGTTAACTCATAATATAAGCTTCTAATTAAAATTTATTTTAACAAGAAATGTCGAATAGAAGATGAAAAATGTGATACCATTTTTTTATATTTAAATTTTATTTAAAGCAATATCAAGATTAAACATTTTCTATAATTACGCAAGTTGTTTTTAGGAATTTTTTTATTAAGAAATTTATTTAAACAAAAGAATGTCTAAAAAAAGTGGCAGAATTTTTATTCTCATGATAGCTATACTATCAAAAATTAAAAAAAAAAAAAAATTGAAGAGTATTCTAAGAAACTTTGTATTTGTTGAACTACTTTAAATATAAACTTTTCTTGCGTTCTTATTCACAAATTCCTCAATTACTTTATCTAATTCTAATGTTAGTGCTATTTCGCTCTTAATTGCCAAAATGTTTGAAACGCTCCTGAGACATGCTATTTCTTAAATATGATTTGATAATCTTTAATTTACTTAAAGATCTTTCAGCACTTGTAACTGTCACAGGTATTGTAATCAATAGCAATATGTCTGTGTTTACATCTGAAAAATCGCACTCCATAAAACTGTATTTGATGAGCAGTATGTCAGCTAAATCTTTTAATGTAGTTGCTTCTGTGATGTCATTTTTAATAAAAACCATTGCATTTGTCAAATCATTTGAGTAACTATGTTGCAATAATTTTGCTGATTTAATTAAATCATCTTCAGACAATTTTAATAAATTTTAAGGGTGCAAAAAATTAAAAAGATTTAAAAGTTTTTCCATTCTAGTAAATCTATTTACATGTTGACAATATTTATGGTCCTATAAAAAGCATTAATTTGAAATCTTTTTCCAGCGCATTCGATTAAATCACTTAAACTTAAATCATCAAAATGTATCGCATAATTGGATTGCCTCTTAACTATAAATGTTGGTTTTATTTTCCATATACTGCAAATAGTAACTGCCCCTAATTTAAATAAATCGTAGTTTGATCTAAAATCTTTTAATTTAAATTTCAGAGTTCCAAATAACGTGGTCACTTCGTATAGATCTATGTACTTTTTCTGTAAGTTTTTTGAAGCATAATTTACATTTTTTTAAATGTGATACATAATGATGCAAATAAAAACAAATTCAAAGTTAGATATTTTGTCCCTTAGTTTTAGAGCTTCAGTTTGTTCTTCTTTTTTCGAATATTTTAAAGAAATTTTGGTTAAAGTTTTAACTATATTTAAAAAGCGTAACTTTATAGCTAATAAAGAATTAATTCTTGAAGACCATCTTATTGGGTTTAATTTTTTTAATGTTACTTCCGATTCCCCACTAAAATTTGATAACAAATCCCATCTTTTAATACTGTTGCCAAAAAAAAAGTAATTTTCTTGTAAAATTATAAAAAACTTGTTTACTTCTCTACAGCCAGAAACAGTATTATTTATAACCAGGTTTAAATTGTGATTCGCACAATCAACATATTCTGCATATGGCTAAATATTATTAAATTTTTTCTGAACTCCGTTATAAATGCCGCTCATCACATTAGCTCCGTCGTATCCTTGACCACGGCACTTTTTTTAAATCTATTTCTTTATTTTTCAGCAATAATAAAAATTGATTGGTTAAACTTAATGCCGAATAATCCTTTATTTCATAAAAACCCAAAAATGTTTCTTTAGTCTCTATTTGACAAGGTTGAGTATGCTGTTTACAAATTATGTGAACGTATTGAAAAATTAAACTTAATTGTTCTTTTCTAGATACGTCTTGCGTTATGTCAACTATAATAGAAAAAAAAAGCAGATACATTTATTTCTAATAATAATGTTTTTTCTAAATTTTGGCTTAAATATTGAATCAATTCATTTTGGATAGCTGGACTAAGATATTTTAAAGTGCATTTAGGCTTATTGAGTACTTGTTTCATTGTATCGTCGTACTTTGACAGCAAATAATTTAATTAAGTCTCATCCTTTTTCTGTTACTGTTCCTAAGTGCACCGAAAATTCTTACTCGTCCAGTTTTTTTCCTCGAACATCAGTTCTTTGGAATTTACTTCCTTCATCTTGCTTTCCTGATTCATATATAATTTGTAATCTTTTAAGTCATCTGTCAATCGTTATCTTGCTCTACAATCTTCATCTTTTCTCTTCCAGTAACTTCCTACACTAATTAGTGGTCGGTTGCAGCCTTGTTGAAAGCGAAGATGTTTAAAAAAAAAAAAAAAATTGAGTTTTTTGTTAACATTAAAGTGATGTTAAATGACCTTTCTAATACCATCTTCCAAAATGAAACTTTATGACAAATTAATGTCTTTGTATCCTCATTAAGTGCCCTGTTTTGTTTCCAATGATCATATACTTGACATGCTTTAATATGTTTTAGGCTGTTAGCATGACTTTTTATTTTTTTACTTAGCTCTTTCCAGTCTCAAACTCCCGAACGCCATTGGTTCGCTTTGTCATTTGAAAATAACCAACATGGTTCACAATATGCTGAGTCCAGAATTTCAGAATAACTAAGCCAAAATCGCTGTGTTTGACCAAATCTAAGTCAATTGAAACAGATAACATTTCTTCTTGTTGGGTTGCTTGAGAAGTACTAGTAACAACATTGACATTTTTATCTGCAACTACTTCACTAGGTTTCTGTTCTACTGATGAAAAAAAAAGGATATCTTTTTATTATTTTTACTTAATCTATCATTAGCCTCCTTTTTTAATTTCCTATTTCTGGCTCCACTCATATAAGTTCTTTTAGGGTCCATCCTATTGTAAGAAAAATATTTTATTAGAACATATCTATGTATTAACCCTATAGATATAAATATATATATACTGCTAAATATTTTTGAATAAATAATAGGCTTAATTTGTATTTGTTCTTCAGTTTGTATTTTGAGTCCGCCCTTTTAATTTTATATCAAATATGTACACATAATTTGTTTCTTTGTTAACTCGTACTATCTTTGTACTATAACAAAAGTTTTGTACGCACTAGGTTTTGTACGCACTAGGTTACAAAACTTAGTGCATACTAAACACAAAAACATCGTTCTACCTGTATGGCATTTATATACATTTTTTAATTGAAAAATTCAAGATCTCAGTAATTAATTTATATGAAAATTTAAATCGCTAGAATAAAATTGCAAGATTTAACAAGCAGTCAAAAAATATTACCAATACTATAAATATAACTAATTTATTACATATTAGCTAAACATTTTGATAACTCAACTTATTGTTATGAAAATTATAATTATATGATTTTTACTGCTATGCATGAATGCATATAAAAAGAAAAGCACTTACCTTCTAATTATAATAATATTTAATAATATATACTTAATATTCCACTTCAAAATCACCTAACTTTTTTTTTAACGTTTTTAACAGTTTACAAATTTTTAGACGTCAACAAAAAGTTTTTTCAACATTTAGAAATTCTAAATGTTCTAAATTAGAATGTAACTTTTTTAAAAAAATGCACGTAGGGATATGTGAAAAAATATAAATTCATAAAATGTATTTGATAAAACAGAAATTAGTAACACTCATATTATTATTACCAGTCATATTATTCATATGAGTAAAATTAGTAAATCTCCGCGGGGCCCTCTAAGCTCCGGGGCCCTCTAAGCTCTGGGCCCCCTTGCCTTTGCGGGGTTATGCTCCTCCCTAGTTACGCCACTGCCTAAAACTCTCTCATTCAAATATTTTTACGATTAAAACTTGAAATTACAAAAAAAAAAAAAAGAAAGGATAATTATTGAAAGTTAAAAAAATTTTTAACCTTCAATAATTATAAATTTAGTTGTGGCAACGTCCATAATACTCATAGTCTCACAGGCTTTCTTAGGAATGCATGCGATTTCATGTCTTTATATGACCATGCAAAAAAAAAATGTTTTAACAGTTTGACCACGACATATTTTTAAAATTTAAAAATGCGTTACAAAAACTTACCTAAACTTATCTGAAAAAAAAATTTTCTTAAATAATAAATATTAACGAAAGAGAAAATAAAAAAAAAATACTTAGTTAAAGCAAAAACACAAAAAAATAAATATATATCAGGCCTTGTGATGAATAAAAACTGCGCGACGCATAAGCACGACGTGATTTTTGACGTCATTAAATTCTTTTTATTTGCTTTTCATATTTATTGACATTAGCTGCACCAATTTACTTAATTACTGCAAAACTACTTTAAATCATTAATGTAGAAATGTTATTATTTAAAAATGTTTTGGAATGTTTCTTTTTTTAAAATGTGAAAACATTGGTTTATTTTCTCGACGTTTGACACGTTTTGTCTACTAAACGAATAAAAAACATTATAACTAAACATTTAAAAATGATTATAAAATATGCTAATATTTGATTTTCTCAAATATGTAATTTAAAGTTTTTCAAATAATTATTTTTTCTTTTTAAAAAGTCAGCGCGTAATAAACTGGAAATTTTAATATATGATTAAAAACTATGCAATAGCTAATATTTTTAGTAGCGATTTTATATAATATTTTTTTTTTTATTTATTTTCATAAAGCGGTTGATAAGCACAATCACTCGTATTACTAAAAAACTTTAACAAATGTTTTGAATAGATTTTTAATGTTTACAAGGAATTTTATTTTTGGTAAAATAAAATAAAATGTTATAATAAAAATCTTATAGGTATAAAAAACATATTTCAGTGAAAAAATTATTCTTAAAAATTATTCAAAAAACTATTGACGTTCTATTTTTAAGCAGCTGTTCTTGAGCACGCATTGTTGAGGTTCGGTAATTTTTAACAAAAAAGCGATTGTTATTATTTCAGTAATTTTTTTCGAGTTACTTTTTACAAAAATTTTAGTAGCTGTACTTTTTTATTGAATCAAGTAGAATACGTTTTAATATTGATCCTTTTATTTTTTTAATTTGCGCCTACCAATTTTTAAAATGTTTCCTCAAAATTATTCTTAAATGCTTTAAATACGCCTAACAGTTAATAAATATTTTTAAATCTACGGAATAATTTTAAAACCTAACAAACCCCCGTAAAATAATTATTTAAGTTGAAAATCTAAAACTAAAAGAAAGTATTTTTGTTCAATTTTATTGACAACTTTGCTATTGCTGAATAATTTTATTAAAATGTTAGCTTAAAAAAATTTAAACTTTTTTTTTTAATCTGAATTTTTTCTACTTGTAAATAATGAGCATGTTTAATTTTTTTGTAATTCAAACTTTTATATCAACTGCGTGCAGTTTTTAGAATACTTTATTAAATGTTAAAATAATCGTAAATTACTTCATTAAAATTCCACTCAAAAATATCTTTAAATATACTCAAACAAAAATTTTTTTGCTCGACGCAAATAGCCCTAGCTACACGCAAAATCGCTCTTGGACTACGTAAAATTCATATTGCCCGACACTTTATCGCAAGGCTTGATATATATAACGCAACTAAAACAAAACTCGTCAAACTAAAATGCTTAGTCTATTTAATTTACACATTAAAAAACCTTTTCAATCATTGTTTCAACATTTTTATATATTTTTTATTTATTTAATGTTCAAAAATTAAATATTTCTCATAAAAAGTACATAGTTATATAAATAAAATAAAAAAATATTTTATTAATACTTTTTTTTAAATTAATTAGAAGTGTTTTTTTTTTTTACTCCATTAAAAGCGTTTCGATAATATAAAAGCATTTAAGATCAAACTTATTAAATTGTAATGGTTTTCTAAAACTTTTTTTTTTTAACGAAATTTTGTTCATCTTTTTAAATGCATTAACTTTAATCATTCTTATATTTAAATTCGTTAAAGAGACTTTCGTAGTCGTAGAATGTCATCGTTTATAAAAACAAAACAATTTTTTATTTTTTAATAAGATTTATTGTAGAAATGAACACTTAAACAATTTATATGTTTTAAATTAAAAATATATATACAACTGTCAATTGTATTTAAAAAACATAACTTTTTTTCAGTAAATTGTTACTTTATTAAAAATAGTTTCGCTAATATAAAAACATTTGTTAAGAAGTTTTGATGTAATTAATTTTACTTTTTTAGAATATTTTTTATTTAGCACATTTCTAAAACGTTTTTTGAATTAGCTGCGGTCAAACCGTCATAGCAAAATGTAACTTGCGTAGTCATATAAAGATGTGAAATCGCACGTCTTCCTGTGAAAACCTGGTGTCATAGCGAGGATCATTCCTGAAAGTTAAATGTATATCTAGCTACAGTAATAATAGATTACATAGCGCAAGAAAGGAATAAAATTTTATTTAAATAGTAAACATGTAAAAAAAAAAATTTGTTTGCAATTAGATTTTTTTGCATTAATTCGAGCCCTGAAATTCCTTTTTTTTTTTCTTTAGGAGATGTAAATGTGATATAAAATACCAAAATATTTTTTAATATCATGTTGCAATCACTCTCACCCCCACTTCCACCACCCCCACTAAAAACTCTTGGACCCATCACTGATCACTAAAAAATTAAGTTTGGAGTTACTAGAAAAAAAGAATTTAGTTATAGAAAGAATTTAGCAAGGAAACGGTTAATAGAAGACTTAAAAAGTTAAAGGTGAATCAGGAAAACATGAAAATTGAAAAGAGTTCCAACGAATTAAAGTGCGAGAAAAAAAACTTGACAAATAAAAGTTTTTAGAAAATGCAGAGACAGATACAGTAAGAGAATGAGACTTTGCTGAATGACAAGTCAACCAAGAATAGTTTAAAGTTAATGGAACTAAAAATCATAGTTCTTTTGAGCAGCGACCATAATAATATTTGTAAAAAAGAGGTGCAATTTTATAAAGATGAGAAAGAGGCTCAAGCTCAGCAGATAGAGCGGGTCTAACTACTTTTACAATACCTTTTTAGACCTTGTCTAGAAGAGAAAGAGCATCATTAGAAGAACAAGCCCAAATATGATAAAAGTATTTCATACAGGGAAAAATAAGAGATTAGTAGAGGTATAGAATGGAATCAGGAGAGAAAATGACGAGCACCTTAAAGAGAAGCAACCTTAGCAGGTGCTGATTTAGCAATCAATTGTATATATGGTTTCCATATAAGGTCATTAGTAAGCAATAATCCAAGAAAACGCAGAGATGAGAACTTAGTGAGAGGGTTGCCATTGTTTATGTAGGAATGTTGACAGTACGTTGATAGTTGTTTGCAGTAAATAACTGAGTTTTGGAAAATGTTTTTTGATTAGATTTAGTTGAAAATTATTTATTGACATTTTTATTTTTATGATGTTTAAAAATAAATAATAGTTGAGAGTTTTATAGGTTAAAAACCTCTGTTTGACTAATAATGTATTATAAATTTAGTTTTTATTTTCTCTGTTATTTTGTTTAGGCGAAAGAGTGCAATGATGTAAAAGTTCCAGTTGACACAAGTCTACCTAATCCTAATGATTATGAGTTTGATAACCTTTACTTAGACATGAATGGTATAATTCATCCTTGCTCCCATCCTGAAAATAAGTACTGCATTTCTATTTAAATTTTAATCTTGATAATTAATATAAAATATATAAATTTATTATCTTTATTTTATAGACCAGCACCAAAAAATGAAACAGAAATGATGTTGAATATTTTTGAATATATTGACAGGTAATGCAATTTGATTATGTATTGAGAACTATATTAACGAAAAAAAGTAATCTAAATTTTTTTATTTTTAGCAAAGAAATAACTGATAATCAAAATAAAATTTAATTTCAGAATTGCAGACTAAAAATTTTTACAATAATTAAAACATAGTTTATAGTTAAATATCACAGACAATATCAAAAGACATTTTAAATATTCCAGAAGAATTCAGCTTTAGTGTAATAAATATAGTGTTATTTGTATGTTATTAAATATTTTTGCACATAAAAAGTGTACAGTATCTTTTTGATCTCCACCCTTCCTCTACTGACAGTTTAATTTTTTAAAATAATATTTACTGTACATTCATCTTCAATAGTTCTACAAAAATCATATTTCACATGCTGTATATTTAATTTTATTAAACATATAGCATCTGAAATAATTTGTTAAGAGTAATGGAAACAACTGGAGTTTGTTTTGTTTCAACGCATTTTGTGCATTTATTTTTAACACAGTATATAATAATAGTTACTTAAATCAGTATTAAAAAACATGTGGTTTTAAATGTTGATTTAAGGAACCTTGGTTATGGTGGAAATTACTGGGTGTTTTACTCTATTAGACTTTCTTGTTGTTATTTATGTTATTATCATTGCTTTTTTCTTTTTATATTCACCTCCCCAAATACGCAGGGGCAACTACAGTCATAGGGGCTTTTTTTTATTTTTCTTACAATTCTCTTTCAATCATTTAAAACCAAAACACGAGTCTTAACGAACAAGGACATCAAGAAACAAGTTGGTATAATATGTTTGTTGCAATAGAAAATGCTAGTTAAAATTATTGTTATGTTTTCGTCATTATGATTAATAATTGTTTTTATATTTTAATATTTCAATTTTTAAAAAAATTGTTTATATTATTCCAGAATATTTTCAATTGTACGCCCAAGACGGCTGTTGTACATGGCTATAGATGGAGTGGTGAGCATTTTATTAGTTCATTATTTTATGATACAAGAAAAAATTTTCTTATTAAAGCACTTTATTAAATTGTATTAAACTCTAATAAATGAAAATGTTTAGGCTCCAAGAGCTAAGATGAATCAACAAAGATCTCGTAGATTTCGAGCAGCAAAAGATGCAAGGTAATACATTTTTTATTTAGATATGCAGCAGTTAGTCTAAATAAACAGATCTTTAAAAAGATCTGTTTATTTACTTTTTGTCACTCTTTAACAGCTCATGTTTTTTAACCTCAAAAAACATTTTTTTATAATCCAATATATACAAGTTTAAATGTCACAAGAATGATAAAATTTATTTAAAAAAAAACATTTATTTAACAAAATTTTTCAAGTTTCATCTGTTATGTCTGGCTAAGAAGAATAATGCTTCTTTTTTTCTATAATTTCAATACAAATTTATAAATTTAAAAAATAAATTTGTATTGCTCTTAAGATTATTATTAAAGAGATGTTACTCTCTCATTTTTTGATGTAACAGGTGGCAAGTTTAAAGAGATGTTACTCTCTCATTTTTTGATGTAACAGGTGGCAAGTTTAAAGTTACTCTCTCATTTTTTGATGTAACAGGTGGCAAGTTAAAAGTTACTCTCTCATTTTTTGATGTAACAGGTGGCAAGTTTAAAGTTACTCTCTCATTTTTTATTATTTTTCAAAAAATTAAAAAGATTAGATTAGAACATTACATTCTTTATTGTTAAAAAATCTATTGATCTTCAATTAAGTCATGCCATCAAACAGAATCAACCATGAGCTGGAACCTGTTACACAAGATGTTGTTCACTGACCATGTCCATTTTATTGAGGCATTTCTTGAGTTTTTGGCAAAAGTGATTTAAACTTTTTTCCTGCCAATTCTTTGCATCTTGGTCTAATCTATGGTTTCTGGTCTTCCGTTAGCTTCAGGATCCTGATTTTCTTTCTTGTATGGATAGAAGACTTGTTTTTGAGCATCAGGGAGATGTATTGATGACTGGATTGAAATTGTCGAGCTGCTTGGTTTTGCAAATGGTGTCCTTATGGTAAAACATTGCTTTAGTTGCTTTACATTAGTTTTGATCAGGATTACCAGTTTTTTACCACTGACCTTGGCTCTTTGGTGGCCAGATTTATTTTCAACTTAGTCAATAATCCCATAGATGGTACTTATCTGGATATTCTCAAAGTGAAAGCTACAAAGTGCTCAATGGTAAAGGGTTTTCCCTCTGATCTATAGGTTAGAATTCTAGAATTGGGTTCCAGAGTTCAGTCTATAAGTGAAATTTTTTATTTGTGTTTTTATAAATTTTTATTGGAACAAAACGTTTCTTTTAATTTTCGGAGTTTACTAGTGATTATCAAACATTTTTGCAATTATAAGAACTTATATATAGTATAGTTACTTGTTTGGCTGATAAAATACCCAATAATCACTTTTCCACCATTTTCTGATATCATAAATCAATATTGCTTGTTATTGCAATGGGAAGGAGAAAAAAAAGAGGGAGTCTTTTACTGTGTGTTCTTAAAATAAAATAGTTAGATTTTTGTTTTTTTGTTCAACATCAAAAATATTGTCATATTGTGCAACATTTAATTATTTTATTGATAGGGAATTAATACCATGGTTTTGCTTTATAAGTGAGAAGTTTAGAGTTCATACTCTATCACATCTCAGGTTGAACCATGCTTAACTGGCTGGAACCGCATCATTTGTGGATTTAATTGTCGAAAACATTGCAAAGTTATTTTTTATAATGCTTTGTAATCTTTCTAATAAAATATTTTTACACTATACTAAACACCTTTAAACATAGTTTTATTGTGCTATTAAATAAATTATAAAATATTTAATAAAATTTTTATTTATTTTAAAAGCATAAATTTTTCTAAGGTAAGTGTTTTAAAATAATTTGTTTTATTAATTTTAAAAACAACGACAACAACAATCTGTTTCAATGAACTTTTCTTTTTAATTCATAAAGTTAGTATAGTTGCAAAGATAACAAAGTTTTTTGTTGTTTTTTTGTAAATTTTCTGATTAAATGTTTTTATACTACCCAAGTAGTGTAAAAACACTTAATTAGAAAGTTTACAAACCAACATAAAAATTTTAAATGCTTAAAGTTTGTTTATATTAAAAACATTAAATAAATAAAAAATAAACAATAAATTAATAAAGAATATTATAAAAAATGTTATATTTAGTTTAAAACTTTTGTGCATTTTTTTATTTGGTTTGCATACAATTTTATGAATAATTTTATTTTATGATTTATTTTCTATTTAATTGAATTTTTAATTTTTCAGTTTTATATTAGTTGACTTTTCTTTTAGAGCTATAGTTTTTAACTTTTTATTTTGTATTTCTCTTTTATTAAAGATTTTTTATTTATTTATTTTTTTTTTTTTTATAATTTTCATTCTTTTGTTGGGTTTTTGAAGCGCTTTTAATGAAGAGTTAAAAAGCTTTAAAAAAAGTTATTATATGCATGGTCAGGTGTTGAGTTTGATAGCACGCCTTTTCTGTCCATGACTGATATATTTATGTTAACTCACCTCCCCACGACCAAGAATGCCACTAGTCAAGGAAGAGTCTTTATTTGTAGTTACAACCCTTTCTCAACTCTATAACTCCAAAATACAAACCTTGACAAACAAGACTGAAGTTCGGAGAAACTGAAGTGGAGCTTGGTACTACCAGGGATGTGAATGGGTTCGAACTCTAATTTTTTTGCTTGTGAGGTGAGCGGTCTACCACTACACCAATCCCACATTATATATGTATATGTATATATATATATATGTATATGTATATGTATATATATATATATATATACATATACATATTAAATGCGGTAGTGGTGTAGTGGTAGAGCGCTCGCTTCATAAACGAGTGGTTCCGAGTTCGATCCCCACCACGTCCCTGGTAGTACAGCGCTCAACTCGTTTCTCCGCGCAGCGGCCTTGTTCGTCAAGGTTCATGTTTCGGAGTTATAAAGTTGAGAGAGGGTTATAGCCACAAAATAAGTAGCCTCCTTGTCTGTAGTGGCCTTCTCGGCCTTGAGGAGGTAAAGTAAAATAAAAAAAAATATATATATATATATATATATAAATATAAATAAAAAAAAAAATATATATATATATATATATATATATATATATATATATATATATATATATATATATATATATATTTAAACAATTTAAAATGTATTCTACAAAAAGAGTGCTCAATAAAAGAACAGAGCAATTACAATTTAGTAGAAAATCACTTAGCAAAATTTTTTCTCATTTAACACTATGTTTCATCAATAAATAAATATATATATATATATATATATATATATATATATATATATATATATATATATATATATATATATATATATATATATATATATATATATATATATATATATATTAATGCTAAACTAAATAGTAGCAGTGACCTTTCAAGCTTTTGACGCTGAACTCTTGGCAGCCATTACAACCGAGGTAATGTATTGTGTTAGCATAGGAGGGGGGGAGGTGAGGGATTTGAACCTTCACTAAGCAACACCAATGACATTGCATTAAAACACTGAGCTAACAAAGTTATGCATGTAAGAGTAAAGCAAATTATTTTATAAATCTCTTATAAGTTGTATGTATGCGGAAAAGGTGCGTATGTTAATTTTTTTTTGCTTTGAAAGCAATTTTTTTAAATGGATTTTTTTTTCTACAGTTAATTAAAAAATATTGAAATAAATAAGGAATAAGTATAGAAATGATCTGTGTGGAATATTTAAGTGTGAATATGAAGTGGCTGGCAGAAGTTTTAGTGGTTTGGAGAGCAAGGATATATACAGTATCGGACAAAACAAGTGCAACCAAATAATGCTAATTTTATTTCTTTATATAAAAGTGCTGCATTTTTTCAATTTAAAGAAATAACTATGTAACTGTTTAGGGACAACGTTCTTCAAATTTTATTCATCACAAAGTTCATTATTTGTACACGAAAATTAATATATTAATCAAAAGTATTAAAAAGAGTTGATTTCTTTCTGGACAAAACAAGTGCAACTCTATAAAATGTTGAACGAGCTGTATTTTACTATCAATATTTCGTGGCGAATCCTTTGTTGTCGATCACAGCCTTGCATCTTCGAGGCATAGATTCGATCAGATGATCAATGAAACTTTGTGGAATCGCTGCCCAGACCTTTTGGATTTGTTCAAACAGCTGATCTTTATTATGAACACCTTCACAATTAACTCTGCGGTTGACGATCTCCCACAGGTTCTCAATAGGGTTGAGATCCGGAGATTGAGGCGGCCAATCCATTACCGATAGGTGGTTGTCTTGAAACCACTGCTTGACTACATTTGCAGTGTGTTTCAGATCGTTGTCTTGCTGAAAAACCCATTTTATTGGCATATTTCATTCAACATGAGGTAACATATTATCTTTCAAGATATTTTTATACATGAAACGGTTCATTATTCCATTGATTCTATGTATTGGACCTAGAACATTAGCAGAAAAACACCCCCAGACCATTACATTGCCTTTACCATGTTTCACGGTCTTATGGCAGTAATGTAAATTGAGGTGTTTTCCTGCTAGTCGACATACATGGCAAATGCCATCGCTCCCAATGATGTTGAACTTCGATTCATCACTGAACAGGACAGTTCGCCATTTCTGCACATTCCAGTCAATATGAGATGTAGCAAACAGGAGTCTTTTCTTCTGGTTCTTTAGTGAAATCAGCAGCTTCTTAGCTGGGCATCGAGAAAACAATCCGGCTTCATCAACACGTCATCTGATTGTTCGGTCCAATACAGGCAGCTGTAATTGCTTTTGTATCTCGACTGATGATATCCAGGGATCCGTCTTGACGGATCTGATGATCATAGAATCCTATGACACTAGATGTGTTGGAACGCGGTCTGCCACCTTTGTTATCTGCTGCAAACTTCCCTGTTGATCGATATTTGGAACATAGTCTTGATAGGGTCCATTTTTTCACGCGATATTTATCACAAATACTTTTTTGTGACATTCCACTTACGTAATCGCCAATAATTTTCTTTTTTAGTTCCAATCCAAGACTGTCGGGAGCCATTTTTGCACTTGAAGTCATAAAAATAATAAAAATAAATAATCACGCTTCTCAAGGCTTATCGTGTTACATTTACCTAATAATGATACAATAATGTTCTGTGGAACACAACGTCTTGGTTGGATGTGGACTGTATTGATGTAATGAAACACTTGTTGTATTTCACTTCTTGTATTGATGTTCTTCGATAAAACACTTTGATAAAACTTACTTTGATAAACTCACAATAATACTGACTGATTGACTTCGATATACTGACTGAATTACATGTTGGTTCACATGTCTTTTTACATGTGTGAACCTGTTCTGGAAGATTCTAGATGCTACTTTTCGATGCTTCTGGATACTTCTGGATGCTTCCAGATGCTTCTTCTGGAAATTTCTGAAAGCTTCTGCATGCTTCTGAAAACTTCTGGATACTTCCTTTAATTATTAAAAAACTTCCATGATGCTGACACGAACCAGACTTAAGAAAATGAAACAAACCAAAAAAGTTGCGCTTGTTTTGTCCGCTGCAAAATGACACTTGTCAACGAAATTCTGCCTGTGTGCTGTCACCTGTCAGCTGATTGCTCATGTCATGGCATGCAATGACTCCAGACTCCTGAACTGTTTGCTGTGGTAGTATAGTTCGTTTTGTTTTTAAGACATGTAAAATTAGGAACACTTTTTAGCATTGTTCAATGTTGGTTGCAAATGTTTTGTCCAATACTGTATATAAGTAAAAAGTATAGAAAAGGTTGGTGTGGAATAGACTTAGAAAACCCATATTTTTACAGGTCTGGTCAGCTAGTATATAATAATGACTGTAAAGTTATATATTTATATGCATAATATTTTATTAATGGTAGGGAGTCTAAAGAAATCATCCATAACATAAAGCAGAAGTTAATTGAAAAAGGTAATTTTAGAACTCTAGTAATAAATTAGAAATTTATATTTTATATTTTTAGATCACCTCAATTTCTAAATATTTTACTGCTTTGTAGGGGCAGTTCTTCCTCCTGAACCAGAAAAGAAAGAATCTTTTGACAGTAATTGTATAACTCCTGTATGTATTTTAAAACTTTTTTTGTATTTTTTGTTCAGGTTTGATGTGTAAGTTTTGAAAAATGTTTTCAAAAACCACTTTTGTTAAATTTAAAACCTAGTGTTGTAAATTTAAAACATTAATTCCAGTTCAAACACTTTTAACATCAAAACCTTTTACTGCTGGTTTAAAGAAAAAACAAAATGTTGCTGATGACTTTAGTGATGGGTTTAAGGTAGATATTTCAAAATAAGAAAAGTTGGAAATAATATTATGCTTTAAAAATACTTTCAATTTAATTTTTAATTTAAAAAATAAGGTAATCTGTTGAAATTCACAGATCAAGATTATCCAAGTTGAATTTTTTAAAAAAATGGAGTTTTCAATGAATCATAGTAGTACCAAGACCATTTAAAACCTGTTATTCAACTTTGTAAGCTACATTTGTCAAATGTGTTATTTAATTTTACAAAAATATTTTTTTATCTCTCTAAATGAGTTTAGGAAAATGCCCTTAAATTAATAGCTCTGAAAGTCTCAAACTAAATTTAACTTGAGGAAAAAAATACAAAAATAAAAAGTAAAAAATAAGAAGGCAAATGTAAGTTTACAAAGAAAAATCAGCACAAACATAGAAAAAACCTTCATAATATTTATGAAAAAATTTTCGTTAAAATTAATCGAAAAAATCTTTCCTGTCTTACAAGTTTTTTTTTTTAATGTGAAAAGAATAAATTCAATATTAAATTTTTAAATGTATTTAAAACATAATTTTTTTTTCTCAACATTTGTTTAAATAAATATGTTAAATTTTTTTTATTATTTCCATAATTTAGAATTGGAACATAAGATTTTTTATTTTTAAAAGGTAGCGTAAAAACAAATGAAAAGATAGTTTTTAACTTTTGCAAACTATTGCAAAAATGAACTTTATTTAATTATTTTAGCAGCAATTTTGTTGTAAATGCAAAGTTTATTTTAGGTTTTCAAGTACCTTATAAAATCATGTTTAACATTTGTTTTGTCCAAATCTTTGATGCAGCCTTGGAACATGTTTACAATGAATTAGTTTTTAGCGAAAAAAAATAAAGGATGAAGGAAAAACAAAAAAGAATTGCAATAAAAAACAAACTAATTTAAAGAAAAAAAAAAAAAAATTAGCTATTCAACAATATTTAGTAATATTGAACAAAAATTAAATTTCCTTTGTTTTAAATCAAATATAATTTTCATATTAAACATAGTCATTCAAACTTTTGTAACGAACTTTTTGACATGATTGGCATTCAAACATTTAAGTGGTTTTTACCACATTAATTAGTTCTTTTAACTTATTGCTTTAGGCGTACATAAAATTAATTAACACATACATAAATTTTGTGTTGTGTAAGTTTTAAAACAAGGCCTGTATATATACACCACCTTGAGCATTGCTGAATATAAACCCAAATGTTTAGGGCTATATGTGTGTGTGTGTGTGTGTATATATATATATATATATATATATATATATATATATATATATATATATATATATATATATATTCATCAAGAAGCTTTGTTTCACCATCAGTAGGTTCATCAGGAAGCTTCCTGATGTTCATATTCGACTCATAAAAGTATGGATATAAAATGATTGTAATAAAAATAAAACACAGTCATAAAGTGTATTAGTGGATATGTTTTTTACCTAAATTTCTTTTTAAATTATGCATGTTTATAGAAACGTTCCTCCGGCGTCATAAAAACTCACAACAGCCCTGTATATATTAATACTTATATAAAAATATATTGTAAAATTAAATATATTTGTAATTCTTGGACATATGATCCTAGCTAGTGTTCATTTTCTCCTTTTTTCTCCTTTAGATGGTTCTGACCATGCAATGATCTCTTAAAATCTTTTATCTCATACTTCCTTTTTGGATTCATTTTATCATCGCGCTACTTATTGTTACCCTAAAACTGACTGAGACTCTTTTCGTGATTTTTTTTGTGATGGTCCTTGGGCTGATGTCTTTTCTCTCTCAGCTGATAAATGCACATCCTATGTAACCTCCTGGTATCATGCAGTAATGGGAACTTTTATTCCTTCTTGTTGGTTCTAAGTCAGGCATCATTCTACTCCACGGTTTTCACCTTCTTGTGCAGCTGCTATATCTAATTGTAATTTTTTTTTTTTTCTCTTATTCAAAAAAAACAACTCTCTTGAGAAAAATTGGCTATTTATTAATGCAAGAAATGGATGTAAAAAGGTGCTGTCTAATGCTAAGCTCCATTACTCTCAATCCACTAAATTTTGTATCTTATCTCAGAAGTTAGGCTCTAGAGACTTGGAAAATCTCTAACAGTTTAAATAATAAGGATAGGTCTAACATTCCACCTCTCATTCATGGGGCTGATCTTATTACTCAAGGCAACTATTTGCAAAGAATTTTTCTAATTCGACTCTTGAATCTTAGTCATTTTCTCTCTCTCTCTCTCTCTCTCTCTCTATATATATATATATATATATATATATATATATATATATATATATATATATATATATATATATATATATATATATATATATATATATATATATAGAGAGAGAGAGAGAGAGAGAGAGAGAGAGAGAGAGACTGTTAGATGATAGATTTTATTAGAATCGTTATGTTAATAAGAATTTTTTTAAATAGGGCACTGAATTTATGGATAGGTTAGCTGTATGCTTACGTTATTATATTGCTCATCGCTTGACAAATGATCCTGGGTGGAAAAATATAAAGGTATTTTTGTGTTTGTAGTTTTTTTTTTTTTTTTTTTTTTTTTTGTTATTTCAAATTTACTTTTTTTATCTACTAAATTTTAAACTTTTTCATATTTATTAAATCTAGTTTTCTATATGTGAGATATAGTAAAATAATTTTTTAAGGTGATTTTGTCTGATGCAAATACCCCTGGAGAAGGTGAACATAAAATAATGGATTTTATACGCAAACAAAGAGCACAACCTGACCACGATCCAAACACTAAGCACTGTCTTAATGGAGCCGATGGTAAATATAATTACTTACCATTAACTTTTATATCTAACAGAATATATATTTATTGTTTTTTAATTATTTACTTACTTAAATAAATTATTTTTTTATTATTTAAATTCTAAAGTTTTATTTTTATGAACTATATGTTTTCTTTATTTTAGCTGATTTGATTATGTTAGGTATTAATTCATTTTTATTTAAATATTTATAAATTATAAACGCGATGATGATGATAATGATGATGATGATGATGAGGATGACGATGATGATGATGATGATGATGATGATGATGATGATGATGATGATGATGATGATGATGATGATGATGATGATGATGATGAGGATGATGAGGATGATGATGACGAGGATGGTGGTGATGGTGGTTGTGGTCATGGTGAAGACAATGGTGGTGATGATGATGGTGATGATGAAATAATAGATATTCAAATATTATTGTAGGGTTATGCTATATTGTTGTAGGATTGGCCACTCATGAAGTCCATTTTACTATTTTAAGAGAAGAATTTAAACCTAATCAAAAAAGACCATGTGAAATTTGTGGGCAAATTGGTATATTTTAAAATTATCTTCATGTTTTTGATTTTTTAAAGTTTTTAAAATGTTAGTTATTTAAAAATTTTTTTTTGACTATAGGTCATGAAAAGACAGATTGTGAAGGTTTACCAAAAGAAAATTTAGGGGTAAAGGGTAGTTAAGGGGGAGTTGTTTCATTTTAAATTAAACCTGTGCTATTGTTTAGTTTTTATTGTTTACAAATTTTACATTTTTAGTTTTTAAAATTGTTAAATTTATTTTAAGTCAAACTGTGTTGAAACTCCGATTGTTCAAGATGTTGAATTTATTTTCATTCGTCTTCATGTCCTGAGAGAAGTGATTTTTTAAAAATTTAAACATATATACCTTAAAAATATACTATTGCGTATTTTGATTTATATTTTGACTTATTTAATTATTTTAAAACTATTTTGACTTATGTTTAGTACTTAGAACGTGAATTAAAGATGGAAGGGCTTCCTTTTTACAATTTTGAGGTAAAGCTTTTGTTTATAAACATTTTTATACCATCAACTTGAAAATTTGATCAAAAGAAAAAAATCACAAAATATAAATTGTGTTTTTTCTTTGAAAAACAATCATCATTTTAATTCTTTTTTTTGTTGTTGTTGTTGTTGTGGAACTGAAGCGCTTCTTAGTTTTTATCAATAGAAATATAAATCAGCCACATTGTAAAGTAAAAAGGAGATTTACTTATTTTATTAGTGTAAAGTATCCAGTTCTTGCAACCTAGTTGTTACCACTTGGTCACTAAAAAATAGGCCAAACAAAAACTGGAAAGTTCTGAAATTGTATCTGAAAAAACTCTGATGTTTGTTTTATAATTGAAGATTGTTTTACATTGTAATTTGTAAAATAAAGGTACAGGATTTTTTGGAAAAAAAACTTACAAAAATTCATGTTAAATTTCAAAAAAGCTAATAAAGATAATCACAAAAGCATGTTGATTATAACTTAATTGCATTTTTTTCTTTTCCCAGCTTTTTATTTGGATATGCAAACATCTTATAAACATAGAATTAGTGAATAAATTTAGAAGGTTGGGGGTGTAGGGTTAGTGGAAAATACTTAAAGCAATATAACCCCCTTTTTTATAATTAATTGTCACCAAATCTTTTTTTTTTTTTTTTAATGACCTTGTGGTTATATAGGGACTGTGGTTATATAGGGACAAGTAAGTTTTTGTAAGGCTTATTTTATTTGTAAAATTTTACTTGAAAATAGCCATATAATTAACTTTTTAATTTTTCCAGTCTTTGCTACACACCCTTGCTATAAGCTGTTGCTGTAGATAAATAGCATTTTAATTTTTTGTAATTCATTATTCTACACCTTTTGTTTTTTTTCTTAAAGCATATAATTGAATAATATTTTAATTAAATAGTAAAATTTTACAAAAGTTTTCTGCTCAAAGAAAGTTTTTAGGTTTTCCTACCTAGAAATTTTTCTATTTATTCTATACTGCTATACTGTAATTCCATTACGGAAATGTAAGTTACAACCGGTTGTAACTTACATTTCCAGCTCTGACGTTAATAATTACCCAAAATTACACCTACAAAAGCAATCTCTTTGGGATGCACACCTTTTTAGAAAGGGTGAATCAAAAAGGCTTTGTAGAAGCTTCTCACTTAAATGTAAGAATCCTAAGTGAGAAACACTATTCTGGGTTCAGACTAAGCCAAGTATATCTTCCTAATCTCATTAGGTAGGTTTCACAGAAGCAAATGGACACTCTTTCGTTTTGAACTTGCTATGTATGGTCATTAAACACACCCTGAAAATTTGGGGTCCTAATAACAGAAAGGCATCCTATTAAAATCCTTTTAACCACATAAAATAGATGCTAAACTATGCTCAAAATGAGCAATTTTAAAATCTAGAATTAAAATCCAAAAGGCATATTCATTTTTTAAAAAATCGTATTTTTTGCTACATGGCAACTCTTTTTAGTAGAGTGCATGAAGTGTAAAAAGGCTCAAAAAGAAATGAAAAATAATTAATCCATATTTTTCTGACATCAAAATAATAATTTCCATACAAAAATAATGGATTCTACTTTATTTCTAGCAAGATTTTCAATTCAAAACATAATATTCTCAAAATTCATAATATTCTTATATACAACATTTTTCAAACTCAATAATAGGTTCAACAGCAAAAATTTTAAACTTTTTTGCTGTTGTAATCAACAATACAGCTTAAAAGCTGTTTTTGGTAATCAGGATGGGAAGCATCTTGTTTGTAACTCTCCCAATGTGTTTTGAAATAGGAGTGTATCAGTGCTCGAAATAACGGCCGATCAATGATCAATGATCGGCTATTTTTAGGGAAATTTCGAAAAATCGAAGGAAAAATAACCTGTTTTTGTGAAAAATTACATTTGATCGGCAAACTTTGAAAAACTATTTCGAGCGCTGGTGTATTGTCTTAGTAGCTTGCTCGCTGAATAGTCTAAGGGCCATTTTCTTTTTATTGATGAAATGTGGCACGTGATAAAAAACTGCATGAGTTTTTGGTGTGACTGAAATTTGCAGCTTGAGGTAATCAGGGTCAAGTGAGCAGCCATCTTGGTGATGCAACTGTTTGGCATCTTTAATAGGTGCCAAACAGTTACAGAAATCTACTGCTTGCAAAGCGTTCTCTGATTTAGCAATATTTTTTAATTCATCCACTTTCTTCAACAGCTTCATGCAATCATTGCCATTGCATTGGCCTCCATGGTAGGGTAACAGTGGAATGTGGATTGAGTTGAGCTATTCAACTGCTTTTGGCCATTTCTGAGTCAGGCTTTTGACAATGTGATTTACCACACCAATAAGCAAATGTAACTCCATTGGTGGAATTACTTCCAAAATACTCATGTGATCATCAAATAGAAGCAGTAGGAGATGTACAACATTTTTGAAAGATTTGGCATTTTTTGTGTCTCCGCCAAACTTCATTAAGTTTGAATGGTGGTTTCTGATTTTTCCAAGAGTTCTGAGCTCACCACACTCATGAAGATTTGTTGCCTCAATTTCACACCAGCAGCATGGATGTTTAGCTTTAAATGAGCAAGCTTTTTCAACTTGGAGGAGGCCAAAAATTGATTTGACATTTTCATAAGTCTCTGGTGTATTTTCCGCCACTGCTACTATTAGCTGCTTTTTAACACCTGTGCTTTTGAGGCCTTCTTGTGAACACAGCTTTACAGTCTTTTGAATGGGGCTTTTAGGCTCAGAATCATCAAGTTTCATGTCAAGAAGACTCAGACTTACTTTCAAAAATGAGCCACCTCCATCTATTCCAAGTTTGAGAATCGTGTCCTGATCAAGGCACCTGGAGTTACCAACAACCTGCTTCAGTTGACAAAGGTCATGACAATGAGCAACCTAACGTTTTTCATTGTTTGATTTGAATTTAAAATTTTGACATAATTATTTGAAATTTTGAGTACCTTTTCTCACTGACAATGGTGCACCTTGAGATTTTTGAATTCTTACTGTGCCACCTGGTGAAGCATCTTTTGATGAAATTATTAATGATGCTATCTGCTCTGCCCCTTAAGATCTGCCATTGCTAATGTGTTTAAGTTCAAATTTCGAGTCCCTTGAGTACAATGATGAGGAAGTCCACGTGCAACCATGGATTATCAAGTTGCGTATCTCTTTTCTGCTGACGGATTCGTGTGATTTTGAGTTTCGGTTTGATTTTGTTTCATCAATGGATGCATTACCTTTGGTTTTTGAAATTCGACAAATCAAGCAATCACAAGCACTTGTCTGTCTTGTTAAAGTTTTAACTTGAATCAAATCAAAGTTGTAAAGAGTAGGAAGATTGGGAGACGAATTTTTGTCACTGGCTTTGTTAATCTTGAAACGACAAGTTAAGCATATCCCGTTTGAAACTTTGTTATCGTTAAAATTAATGGAATTGGAAAAAAATTCTGTAATCTTCTGTTTGAAGGAATCTGTCAATTTACGGTCTGCTTTTTTCATGCAAATGAAGCAGACAGACTTTCTTCACTCATTGTGGTCATGACATGGCAAACGTAGGCATTTCAAGAATTTCACTTCTGCCCAGCTTTTTGTTTGTAAATGGGCGCGCTCTTATTTAGGAATGTGACAAGCCAATAATTTGGCATCAATGACAATATTAACATGATTAAATCATATATCTTTTCAATAATAAATAAAGTTTCATGCTTCTTTGTCAAAAAGCATTTTGTAAAAATTAAAAAATATATAAATTCCCTTCATCCCCAGTTGGATTATAAGATTGAAACTTCAAATCCTAATAACTCCTTTGGATTTTAATCCACGATTTTAATTTTTATCAATATTTTCTTCTATTGACATCTAGAATCAATAGTTAAAAAGGCTTTAATTGGATGTTTTGGTATCAAGGCCCCAAATTTTCAGGGTGTGAAAATTATCTTTCTTTGAAAGATTATTCTAATATGTACCCTAATATTAATTGTAATATTTATCAATTTTAAAATAAAAATCACACTTATGCAACAACTTCACTTCACACCTATTGTGGTGTCACATCAAGTTGTATCCATGTTGGCGAAAATCAAAGAGAAAAAGAAACAGCAAGAGCGCATATCGGGTGGACACGGAAAAATCCGGTCATCTTTAAATTGAGGTTTCTCCAAAACCACAAATGCTTTTTATTCAATTTTTTTTTTTAATTAAACCTTACTTCCTTATCTTAAATGGTGTTGATAAATTTTTGTTTACAAATTAATGATTTTCAAAATGTTTTGGAAACAAGTTAAAGTGCGTAAAAAAGTTGTGCATTTTTTTTTGAAAAAATCCATCGACTTCCTATCGCTTGATTGCTAAACGCACAAATGTCCCAAAATCTACAGTCATAGATATTATAAACAAGTTCAAGACTACTCTCAGCTTCGAAAGAATTTTAAAAATACTGGAATTAAAGCATTTCATAAAAAAATTACACCTAAGAGAAGCTTAAATTGTGAAATTAAAGGAATTCTACGCGCAAAGAAGTTGGTTAAAATAGTGGCGGATAAAAATATGTGCATAATTGGAGACGATGAAACGTATTGCAAGGCGGATATTTCACAACTTCCTGGTCAACAGTTTTACTATGAAAACAAAGATAAACCTGTCAATGATCAATTTAAATATATTCGACGAGAAAAATTTGCATCCAAGTTCCTTGTGTGGCAAGCAATTTGTAGCTATGGTATGCAGTCCTCTTGTTTTGTCACTAAAAAGACCTTGACTGCCAGTCTCTACATCAAAGAATGCCTCCAAAAAAGACTTTTGCCTTTTATAAAAAAACACAAATACCGATGTCTCTTTTGGCCCGATCTTGCTGCCTCTAACTATTCTAAAAACGTTTTTCAGTGGTGCAAAAATAATAATGTGAAAATTGTTCCTAAAGATGCGAATCCTCCAAATTGTCCTGAAGAGCGCAAGATTGAAGATTTTTGGGCAATAGTTAAAGGAGTTCTTCGTAAGACAGGTGGACTAACAAATAATAAAAAGGACTTCCAAAAAAAGTAGATTAATGCCACGATATGGTGAAAAAAGAAAAAATCTGTAAAATGATGGCATCAACCCGCTATAAAATTCGATTTCTTGCCAAGCAACCCTTCAAGCCCCTTAAAATTAAGTTGAAACTCTAATTTATGTAAACACATTTAATAATAAAAAAAATGAAATAAAAAGCATTTATGGTTTTAGAGAAATTTCAATTTAAAGTTGACCAGATTTTTCTGTGTCCACCCGATAAAAGTGGAAAGAATGACTAAATACTTAGCATCAAGTTAGCAAAGAAGCCAATACCCGTACCAAAAAGCTTGATTGAGGATGTCTTTGTCATTTTATTTTAACTTTTTTTTAGAATCGGTGTTGTACTGAGGTTTCTAGTGTATTTCATATATTCACATTTTGATTAAAAAAATGTAAAGTTATAAAAATAATTATAAGTAAAATAATTATGTATAAAAAAAACTTTGATTCCTTAATAATTTAAACCTAATCTTTAGCAAAAATATAAATAAATAAAAGAACTATTTTTAAAAAGAAATCGAAGAAGGAAAAACTAGCAAGTAAATAAATAAATAAATGAATAAAAGAACTATTTTTAGAAAAAAGAAGTTGAAGAAGGAAAAACTAGCACAAAAAAAATTAAAAATAAAAAGTGCTATTTTTGAAAAGAAATCGATGGAGGAAAAACTAGCTAAAGGTATAAATGTCCAGATAGAAAACAAATGACTCTTGCTAGTAGTCACCATTTCTTTATTTATCATTGGAGGTCATTTGTTTTAAAGGCATAACTAAAACTAAAAATAATTTTAGATGAAGTAAGATATTTCAAAAAGTAATATAGACAACAGAAAGGCAAAAGAATCATTAACTTTACTAAGTAAAAAATGGTAAAAGTTTGCTAAATGGTCTTAACTTGCACTTTAATGTTTTTTACCATTTTTTTAAATTGAGATAGTTGCAGAAATTGGCATAAGTGCACCAATTTTTGTTATATTTTTTTATAATAAAGTTAAATAAAAAACATAATACATATTATGCATAGTTTTTTTTTTCTTTTTATTAAATGTTTTTTTTTTTTTTTTTTTAGAGAGCATTAGATGATTGGGTGTTTATGTGTTTTTTTGTTGGTAATGATTTTTTACCTCATCTTCCTTCATTAGAGATCAGGTTTGAACTATTTAAAGCTATTGTTTGTGTTATTTCAAAATTTATTTATTGAATGAGGCCAGAGTCTAAAGTTTTTATATATTATCTAGTTTAAACTTGACTACAGTGTTAATCTACTTAGATAGTTTTAATTCAATGATATTTTAGAAATAAAGTTTTTATATATTATCTAGTTTAAACTTGACTACAGTGTTAATCTACTTAGATAGTTTTAATTCAATGATATTTTAGAAATAAAGTTTTTATATATTATCTAGTTTAAACTTGACTACAGTGTTAATCTACTTAGATAGTTTTAATTCAATGATATTTTAGAAATAAAGTTTTTATATATTATCTAGTTTAAACTTGACTACAGTGTTAATCTACTTAGATAGTTTTAATTCAATGATATTTTAGAAATAAAGTTTTTATATATTATCTAGTTTAAACTTGACTACAGTGTTAATCTACTTAGATAGTTTTAATTCAATGATATTTTAGAAATAAAGTTTTTATATATTATCTAGTTTAAACTTGACTACAGTGTTAATCTACTTAGATAGTTTTAATTCAATGATATTTTAGAAATAAAGTTTTTATATATTATCTAGTTTAAACTTGACTACAGTGTTAATCTACTTAGATAGTTTTAATTCAATGATATTTTAGAAATAAAGTTTTTATATATTATCTAGTTTAAACTTGACTACAGTGTTAATCTACTTAGATAGTTTTAATTCAATGATATTTTAGAAATAAAGTTTTTATATATTATCTAGTTTAAACTTGACTACAGTGTTAATCTACTTAGATAGTTTTAATTCAATGATATTTTAGAAATAAAGTTTTTATATATTATCTAGTTTAAACTTGACTACAGTGTTAATCTACTTAGATAGTTTTAATTCAATGATATTTTAGAAATAAAGTTTTTATATATTATTTAGTTTAAACTTGACTACAGTGTTAATCATTATTAACAAAGAAACAGAGATTTCTGAGTAGAATAAAAGTTTTTGTTTTTATTTGAACATTTTCATTTTTGCAAATGAAATTCATATTCTTAAAATATACAATACGTAAAAGTGGGTCAGGTCAGGTTTATCCTGCTACTGGTAACATGTAACCCAGTACAATCTGCTTCATGTCCTGCTGCCTTGTAAGATATGCCTTTTTAGGCGAAGGCTAGGAGATGCAAACTCCAACATAAAACACCCCCTGCCTTGGGGCTCTTGGTTGAGTAAAGGCTAGAGATGGTGTCTTGATAAAAATACTCATCTTGGGCAGATGTTAAATGCATCCGGTTGCTGTCTTGTAGAAGGCTTCCTAGGCAAAGACTTAAGGGGTAAACAGATTCTATCTATTGACCAGCCTCGCTCCCCTTCTCCATCTATTAGGCTGGCGCAGTTGTATTTTTAATATATTGTTTCCAGTTTAGGATGTTGAACGCTGGATCTTCTTGACTCGATGCATGGGTTTTGCTTCTGTCTCTGTTTTTATGACTAGGCAACTCATTCTATTATCTCCAAATGATGGTACAGCTCTAAAACTCAGTTTTATGGTTCTAAGCCCAGCTGGTAGTCAGGTTTCTCGAACTCTGTGGTAGCTCTCAGAGAGGCTGATTCCATCAACAGCTGAAAAATATCAGAGTACTAACAGTGCCATGTTGCGCATGGATGATGTCCCTGTTTGTACTTTTGGTGTGCATTGCCAAGGCCACATTGGAGCCCTTTGTTACGGCTTAGGGTTTATTAGTTAAAATGAGGCAATAGCTTGGGCTATAAAACAGTGTACTGAGTACTATCTATGTTTCGAGTCAAGTTCTTTAACAAATTTAAAAATGAATAAAGTAACAAAAACTATAAAACACAAAAAACCACAGTCATCACCAAGTTCGCTAAACCTATCATTCACCAATATTCGTGGTCTTCGAAGTAACTTTTCTTCTGTTGAGTCTTATCTCTTGCAAAGTTCACCAGACCTACTTGCTCTTTGTGAGACTAATTTGAGTTCAGCTGTCTCATCTTGTGATCTTAGTGTTGATGGTTATCTTCCTTTAATTCGTAAAGACTCCAATAGTCACATGCTTGGCCTAGGCATTTACATTCGTAAGAGTTCACCCATTTGTCGGAAAACTAGGTTTGAATTTTATTCCCTCTCAACGATTCCAGGTCAAGCCTCACTCTTCTCCATGGTTTTCCTCGCATTGTGCTGCTGCAATTGCCAATCGAAACCATTACTTCCATATCTATCAGCAAAACAATTCTCCAGAAAACAGAAGTCTGTTTGTTACTGCTAGGATCCAATGTAAAAAGGTTTTGTCTAACGCCAAAGCCCGCTATTCTCAGATCATGAAATCTCGTATTTCATCACAAAAATTAGGCTCTCGTGGCTTCTGGAGAATCTTTAATAGTATCAATAATATAGGCAAGTCTGTAATTCCACCTCTTTTGTACGGTTCAGACTTTGTCACCTCACCTAAAGACAAAGCTGAATTGTTTGCCAAGAACTTTTCATCAATATCATCTCTTAATTCCACTAGTTGCGTTCTACCTGATATAGCCATCAAACAGGTTGATCCACTGCTTGACATCCGTATCACTCCAGCTTCTGTATCTAAAGTGATTTCCTGCTTAGACTCTTCTACAGCTTGCGGCCCGGACAACATACCTGTTATAGTCTTGCTTTCAAAAATCCTTTCAAAACTATTTAACAAGTGCTTATCAGAGTCTTGTTTTCCAGCCTGCTTGAAAGCAGCATCTGTTATCCCTATTTTTAAAAATTCTGGAGAGCGATCCGATTCGTCTAACTACCGTCACCTAGGATCAAAAATAATTAGTCTTCTTCCTATCATAAGCAAGGTTTTTGAATCTTTAATTAACAAACACTTAATCTCTCATCTCGAACCTCATAACCTACTTTCTGATCATCAATATGGATTTTGATCTTCTCGTTCTATGGCTGGTTTGCTAACAGTAATAACCAATAAGTTTTATCGTGCATTAGTTAAAAGTGGAGAGGTTAAGGCCATTGCTCTTGACATTTCTAAAGCGTTTGATAAAATTTGGCATGCTGGTCTTCTCCATAAGCTTTCTTCTTACGGTGTATCTGGAAACATCTTTAAGATTATTGAATCCTTCCTTTCCAATCGTAGTATAAAAGTTGTCCTTGATGGACAGCACTCTTCTTCTTATTCTGTAACCTCAGGGGTTTCTCAAGGTTCAATGCTTGGCCCTATACTCTTTTTAATTTACATTAACTATTTTCCAGATATTCTCACATCTAAGGTGGCATTGTTCGCTGATGATACTACCATTTATTCTTGTCACAATAAGAAGCCAACTCCCTCTGATTGCTTGCAAGGGGCATCTGAGCTTGAAAAGGATCTCACTTCTGCTACAACATGGGGCTCACAGTGGCTGGTGAACTTTAATTCAGATAAAACTCAATTTTTTTCAGCCAATCGTTATCGCAATATTTTAGACCTTCTTATATTTATGAACGGTAATGTACTCGATGAGTCTCCTACCCTTCATCTTCTAGGATTAACTCTTACTTCTGATCTTTCTCGGAAACCTTATATCAAATCCGTTGCAAAATTAGCATCTGCTAAAGTTGCTTCTCTTTATTGAGCTTGTCACTTTCTTACTCTGGATTCTATTCTCTATCTCTATAAATCTCAAATCCGGCCTTGTATGGAATACTGTTGCCATATCTGGGGGGGATCTTCTAATGATGCCCTTTCTCTTTTAGACAAGGTGCAAAAACGCATTGTAAACATAGTTGGACCTGCTCTTGTAGCCAACCTTCAACCTCTGTCACATCGTCGTAATGTTGCTTCTCTTTCTCTTTTCTATAATGGGCACTGCTCTAAAGAGCTATCGTCTCTTGTGCCATCTACTAAAATTGTGTTACTCGTCATTCAATTAAGTCTCATCCTTTTTCTGTTACTGTTCCTAAGTGCTCCAAAAACTCTTATTCATCTAGTTTTTTTCCTCGTACATCAGTTTTTTGGAATTTGCTTCCTTCATCTTGCTTTCCTGATTCATATAATTTGCTATCTTTTAAGTCGTCTGTCAATCGTTATCTTGCTCTACAATCTTCATCTTTTCTCTTCCAGTAACTTCCAACACTAACTAGTGGTTGCTTGCAGCCTTGTTGGAAGCAAAGATGTTTAAAAAAAAAAAAAATAAATAAAAAAATACTGTTATATTATTCTAGCTAAACTGAAGAAAGTCTGCGATCTAACAAAGTTATTCATATGGAAAATAAGCTTTTCTTTCAGTTACCAAAAAATCTTGTCCAAATATTAATTCATTTGATTATTTTTAAATATTGAAGACAGAAATTAGACAAATCATGGATAACAAAGTAGACAAACTAATAATACATTAGCAAACATATTAACTTACAATTTATTTGAAATTAAAAAGTTTAACTTTCTTTCAATAAAATGAATTTTGATAAGTTTTATTTTAATGAAGTGATGGCATTTCTTTAGAATTAAGATTGGTTTAAAATAAAGAATTTCGCTATTGTTTTTTAATTTATACTTTTTTACTTAATGTTTTAGAATTAGAATATTAAGTAAAAAGTATAAATTAAATATTATTACTATTTTGTTGGTTATATTTTTATTTGGTTTCTGTATGTCGAGAAATTTTAAAAGTTCTAAATTATGTAACCAATTAAAAGTGTTGCAAAAAATCATTGGATTAAACAATTTGTGGTAACTAATCATTTGCCTCATTTATTTGTATTGTTAAAAAGCATCTAATAATAAACTGCATGTATTATTAGATGCTTTTTGTATTATTAACTAAAAAGCAAGTTTTTTTAACTATTGTTTTACAGTGGAAGTAAAATCCTTTTTTAAACATTTTAAATGATAAAATTGTTTTACAAACATGTTAGTTAAAAACAGTGTTTTTTGAAGATAGCACCTTTTTTGTTACATTAAATTAGTTAATAAACACACCATAAAAATTCTTAATTTAGTTTTTATATTTTCCATTTAA